GTTACGGAATTTATCGCCTCCGAGAGCGGAGCCGGTCAAGAGAGGTTTGCCACGGCTTCTCTTCTCTTCTCTCTACTGTCATCTGGGTGAAAAACTGTCGCTCCGAAAAAGGCCTTAAACAGTGCCTAGGAGGTCTGAAATGCAGTCAGAATACAAAGAAAAACAAGAAGACGCTAAAGGTAAGCTTCAAAGCGATATTCAATGTACATTTTGCTAATTTAGTGAGCAAAGAATATTTCTCCATACAACGTCTTATAATTTTCTTGCTGTATGAATAATTAATTAGCTAAGTAGGATAATGTTGTTCACGGCTCTCATAGTGAGCTTGGGCTGCCTGTGGTTCCATTTACACGTTCCTCGTAGTTTGTACCAGTCCCAGGTCCACGGCAAGAAAATCTGTCACGGCCAGTTAACAAATCAAAATGGCTTCCTCGAGCTCTTGTATCAATGCACTCATAGGCGTACGGGCCGGGGGGGCGAGGGGGGCTGCAGCCCCCCCAAAGTTTGGGCAACTCAGATTTTTTGGACAGCAAGAGAAAACTTGGGCAAAGCCAGTTTTTAAAGACGTTTCCATGTTTTTTATTATTATTATTATATTTTGAAGACATAAATATTTTCTATTTTAACCAGAAGTCGGCGTAATAATTCAGTTACGTTCACACGAGACAGTGGTTGCCTAGCACGTGATGAGTTTCTGGTTATAAGGGAAGGGTATCATATGCTGATTTTTTTTTGCTGTTGTTGGGCACTGTACTTCAATGTACTAGCTGGAGTGGGCTATTTCCAGTCATGAATTGATTAGAATAAACTTCCGCATAACTTTCTAGAATCACCTCCGCTCCTAGAACAGTGTGTGGCAGAACACGCTTCAGCAATGGGTCTTAAAGTGAAGTGGCTGACTAATTCTCAGTTTGAATTACGAGAAGAATCATAATTTTCTTAAAAAAATCTATCGAGGGTTTAAAAATTATTCACTAATTTGTTTAAGTAGACCGAAATGTTTACGAAACCCCTAACAAGATCGAGCGCTAATCAAATTCTTCCTTATAGCAATTGGCAGGAGCTATCTCCATGATCTTTCATACACGTTTTTAATACGATTGAAACTCCGTTTTCTAAACATAAAGATTTTCCTTTTTTACCTTATTTCTAACAATAAAAACTTCATCCCAAAATATCTCGATAACGCTCTTACAGTTCCGTTTTAACTTCACGAACATCGAGGCGACTATTGGAGGAAAGAGCTTCCCTGAACGATTTTGTAAGAACAGTTCCCAGTGAGAAATATTGCTGCAAGTATAATAGGTAATGGCGTCATTTCGTTGCTATGACAGCTCCGATGTCATTGCAATCCTGATCATGACAAATTTCCCTCTTTATCTAATACAACTGTGGTGGCAATTTTTTCCAAATGCTTGTTTGTGGCGACGTAGTTTATGCTCAAACTTGGCAGGTATTGACTCTGAAAAACTGTATCGAGCCACTTTCATATGCCAGTACGGCCTATTTTGTTGCATGGCCCTAGTTTCCTTTCGACCGCTTTGTAAAAATTTGGGCAACTTGCAAGAATTTTTTGGGCAAATGGATTACCGCCCCCCCTGGCAAAAAATTGCCCGTACGCCTATGCACTGTTTGTTTTTTTGCTAGTCTACAATGGAGGCACTTGGTACCACGACTACCCTGGCCTTGGATTAATTGGTAAGTATCTAGTAACGAGTAATAGCAATGTTTATTCAGAGGTTCATATTCACTGAATAGAATCGTCGGGCACCCCGACGTACCGGGGTTTACGACCAAATGAAACAACTTTTTACCAATCGGAAATTCCACTTTTGCTCCCACCGAAATTTCCGGGTTTATTTCCAAAATGGAAAGCGCCCTATGCTTTTCGAGCGCAAAACCAAATACATTATGTTTCTTTTACCCCTAGTCGTCAAGCCTGCCTAGTCGTAAAATTTTAATAAAGAATGTTTCTCGTGCAGTAGCCTGCGAATAGCAGACGCATTTCCGGCCGCAGGGAGAGAAGCGGCGACCGGAAATGCGTTTGCTGTTCGCAGGCTACTCGTGCAGAACTCGTGCAGCGACCGGCCGGAGAATCAATTACACTCACGTGACGCATTCATGGCAGAAACGTGACTTGGTTCCCGAGTCACGCAAGTTGCACACTGACACGTCTCGAAATTCGTAAAGTCCGGCTGAGAGTCTATTTCTGTCAAGGAGGAAGAAAAGAATTTTACCAGTTTTGCGGCCAATTTTTTCAAACGAGCCACGAAGAAAGTGTAAGGAAGTGTGCATTGTTTATAAAAAGTTGAATCGAATATGATTCAAAATGGGGAACAAGGTAAGATATAAAGTTTTCTTTCAGTTGGCTTTTTTGGTCTTCATTAGGCAAAACAAGAAACAAGAAAATTTACGCTCCTGATTTCTCAGGTAGACTAACTGATAAAGGGTTGTTGGTGCCTTAAATCGGCTCTGATCATTTTGTCTTAGTGTCTCTCGATAAAAATAATTTTTTCCAGCACGTTTGTTGAATTCGTCGGTGAGCATTCGTGTAGAACGCACGCGCGCTTTATTCTAAAGTACATACAGTATAGTTTCTGAAAGGTTTCAATATGGGCGAGTGTTTTACTCACGGCTTTGCCAACTGGACCAAAGATTTAGAAACATTTCATTTAATATTTATGTACCGTTGAGCAAAAATTATTTGTTCCACACACCTTGAAATTACAATATGGTTCCGAAAATGTCCTCTCGATTACCATAAACAAAACACACGTAGAGCTACTTACGTAATATAATTACTTGAAAAGCTATAAAACTGACAGACATCAAATGTTAGTATTTTTGTATGTTTTAAAATGTTCATTTACAGTTGGGCAAGGCGCTGTTGTCCTAGTTGTCATAGTAAAACACGGAAACTAGGATAGGATATCTTCTGTTTGAAATCTAGGGCACATGGCCACAAGTTCTACTGAATTTTTAATGAGGAATAGGGACAGTCTTTGTTCGAGTTTATAACATTTCTCTCTTAAACACCGTAAAAAAACTTTTATTGAACTCCAAAGACAGAACATAGTGTTTCTCAAATTCATCTCACAAACTGGCCTTAATTCTGACCCTTCATCTGAAAACTGTCTCGTGCGCCTTCTTCAAAATCCTGAAGTTTAAATTTCAACCAGTTTGAAATTATGTTGAAATTAATTTATTTCCTTGAACGATCACCCAAAGTTTGCAACACCCTGCGTTTACCACCGGACTCTCGCAGTAGGAGCGACGTAGTAGGTGAAAGCGCTAAAAATGTGTTAGTATCCTGTAGATTGTCAACTCTGAATGCCTGCTGTCATGCCTGTTGGTAAAAGCTCTTGCTTTTCTGGTATAGCCAGGTCTTGATCACCAATATCGCTCAGACCCAGTCATCTAATTCTTGAATTATATACGTACACTTCGTTAGGGATCCGGAGCTGGATAAGTAATGACAAGTCTACACCACCGGTTTCTAGAATCTATAATAGCCAGCCGTACCTGTGAACAAACAGCTGATATAGTCGTTCGCGAAAATCGTGACAAAAAAGTAACGCAGTGGTATAGACTCTAACAGGACATCCAGCTATTTTGCAAAAGAAAAACAGTTTGAATGTGAAATGCCATGGACCATGTGTGGAAGAGAAACTGAAGAAAAAAAAATGAGCACCTTTCGTTTGTTGCATGAAGAGCGTGACCGAGTATCTCCCAAAGATCGTCTTTCAGCCGAAGTTGTAGCGATTAGTTCCGATTATTAATCGAATTGTTATCGATACGAACTATTGTCGAAAACTTTACATGTCCACCCTATCGAGTTTTACATGTTTTTAAATGAGTTCCTCTTACCGTAATAGTTTTCTTTAGTCACTTGCTCTTTTACTAACACCAATGACACTAAATGTTATGCAAGAAGACTAAATTGCCGAAGATTTCCGAGAGCTCGAACAATGGCTTCCGTAGGTAATACGATCATCTATATAATTAACCCCTGTACGTGACAATGAGTTTATGAATTTTTCAAAACGACTCAGTCCAACGCCGTTTCTGCCTGAGCTTTTGGGCAAAACATGTCTTCTTGCCGATTTATATCAAGCGTTTGGGGTAGAAGATGTTTGGTGTCATCATTTAAATCTCGTTCCTTCTCTTTAGTCAACGGAAAATGTTCCAGCGCCAAAATTCTCACAGGAGAAACGATGAACCCTTTCGTAAAACAGATCGAATATGCAGTGAGAGGGGCGATTGTAGAGCGAGCGGGAGTTTTGGAAAAAGAATTAGCGAAGGTACGTTTTCATGGTTATTTTTAGTCCTGAATAAAACTTAATCTTACGCATCTTTAAAATTCTAATATCGCTCTAAGCGTAGGTTTTACAATTTCGTTGAACGTCTATGATCGCAGAAATAGCAAGAAAACGTGTGAGGCTGCATGAGTAGTGCTTTACATGTGGTATTCGACAATAAACATTGGACTAAACTATCAACCGACTCACTGTGGTGGTTGGTGCGACATTTAAAGAAGATTTTTGTGTTGAGTTTGGCCTTCGACTTTGGTTTCTCTAAAATATCTAAAATTTAATATGGGACAGGGAAAAGAGGGGGGCAAGGGGGCGTGGAATTATAGAAAGAGGGAAAAGGATGAAACAGGTTCCATTGGCATCATGAGACATGAACAGTCAGAGCTGAACTCATCAGAGATCTAGCGAAAACCAAGTTCTGTTTCTACTTTGCTTACATTGTAGTGAAAACTCAACTGCTGGAGTCATGCAGACACAGGAGAACTAACTGGTTTATTCTTCTGTTTTAGCCTACGAATGGCAGACATTTCTTCTCGCTCATTGCCGCTGAGGGACATTTCGTGAAGAGGAACGTCTGTGACTCAGCAACAGAAATTCCATACTGATGACGTAAATCAATGGTTACATAATAATCCGGTAGTCATGGGGTTCCAAATGCAAATTTGTTCAATTTTACATTTCTCCTGGTCGATTTTGGAAAAGTGTTGTGTTCATCTGTGAATGAGTTCCAGCTAAACTCAAATGCTTCTTCTAGAGAAGACTATGCTCCACAAATATTGACTGTTTTGTTTGAGATTCATCGCGTTTACATTTGACCTTTGTGGCCTTTTGTCTTTTGTCTGTCATTTGTAAACAATAGCTAGAACAATGAAACTACTCCGTCAACCAATTAGCACTTCTGACGGGATTCTGCACAGATTTTGCGTCATCAGTATGGAATTCCTGTCACTGAGTCGCAGACGTTCCTCCTCGTGAAACGTCCCTCAGAGGTGATAAGCAAGGAGAAACTTCTGCCATTCAAAGGCTACATCAAATTCTGTTTCTGCTTACAAAATTCTGAATGACTGGTCCCTCGGGAAACAGTTAATATTAACAAAAAATATTTTTGTTTCCTTCAAGTCTCAATGTTTCCCTTGTCAGCCTCAGGAAACACTGAGATCTGAGGGAAACAAAATTAACTATTTGCTGAGGGACCAGCTATAAAGTGATTTGTTATATAGCTGGAAGTTCAATAAACCTTGCTGTAATGAGGGTCTTCAGTCAACATTTGCAGGTAACAATGGATTTTGAGTGCACTGCTACCCTCTGATGTCATAAATTTTGTAATGTTGCCTGCTCAGAGATTTTGGAGGGAAACAGTTTCATTGTTAGATGTCATGTGACCCCTAAGTAACCAATGAGAATGTATGCTATTGGGAAAAAATTTCCAGCTATATAACAAAGTGGTTTTCAGCCGCTTTCCTATTTCTCTCCTACTCATCTCGGTCATTGGAGCAAGAGAGAAGGATAGGAGAGAACACTGGAAACCAGGTTAGGTGTTTATGTGATAAACTCATTAGTGGAGGAGGACAAGAAAGAACACATTTTTTCCCTTGCAACATTGATTCTGGCAAGCTTTGGTTGCTCCACTTTTTGCTCTGAATTTTTTTATTATTTCCTCAAGGTCATGGGCATAAAAGCTCTTATGGCCTCTTACTCTAACCCCACCAATCTTAAAATATGTAGAGTTTTCTCCATAAACCATAGGAAAAGTATAAACCATTATATAATATGTGACCAGACAGCAATTTATAATGTTTAATTTTCTTTTAACTTTTAGGGGGCACCAAAACCATACAAAGAAGTGGTCAAAGCAAACATTGGAGATGCTCATGCCCTTGGAATGAAACCACTTACCTTTCCACGTCAGGTTTGCCAGTGCTGTGTTCATCAACTAGTTGAATTACAGCTTCAGTAATTGATCGTTAACTTAAGTTTTTTTTTCTAAATGTATCTTAGGTTATTGCCATGTGCGTTTGTCCAGAGCTTTTGGAAACATCTGACTTTCCAGCCGATGCGAAGGCTAAAGCCAGAAGAATATTGAATGATACAAGGGGGTTTAGTATGGGTAGGTGCATGTAGAATTATTAACATCTCATTTCTCCTGCAGATAATGTTGTATATATTATACAATTTATAATATTTTTCCTGCAACAAGAAAGTTTAACCTGATATTTTTTTATGTCTGAAGGCGCGTACTCGGATTCTCAAGGACTGGAGGGCATTAGAAATAATGTGGCCAAATACATTAGTGATAGAGATGGATATCCTTCAGATCCAAACTCAGTTTATCTTACAAGTGGAGCCAGTGAGGCCATAAGGGTGAGAAATGATTTAATGCATTGAGCTCCACAAGAGCATTGTTCTTTCTCACTAATTGGTACATGCCCTATAGTGGCTTAACGTACCTCACCTCAGGGCCGTTGCATAAATTTCAAGTCGCTGGGTTTATGCAATTAGTAGGAGGGGAATTGTATAGCAATGAAGTTCTTTTGGTTCGATTTTCCCGTTGCTACCTATGAAAGTAGCCAGGGCTCATGCTCGTAGTAGACAGGGAAAATCCGCGGCCCCGGCGGCTCTTAGTGACAGCCCTGTCCCCCTGTGAGCAGATCCTTTTTTCCACTTACTTGAGAGGCCTAGTATTTTTACCTCAGTCAGTTTTGGAAAACTGTGGCATGGAAACTGTTTTTGGATAAAATGACTCATTATTTTGCTCGGCAACTTAGATGACTCAGATTAAGAGCGGTGCATTTTACTGCCTACAAGTTTTCTGCGATTGCAGCCTATTGCTCATTTATAACTTGTAAATTGACAACTTCTAACTGTGCCATTAAAGACATACAACATGAGTGTACCTATGAATTTTGGAGAGGGCGTGTTTAGTTGTTGGTGTTGTTTGTAATTGTTTATTCTTCTCACGTTTCTTTATAATATTATTTTCAAGGCAATATTGAAACTTCTCCAGACAAGTGTCAATACTGGAAATGGTAGAGCTGGAATTATGATCCCAATTCCACAGTATCCACTCTACTCTGCAACCCTTTCTGAAATGAACTCATATCAGGTACCAAATAACCCTGTCAACCCTAACATCAAAATTCAAATTCTCATTTGTTATCCCTATACATTTTTAATAGAAGTAGTGGGGAGAATTTGTTGAAGTATCAATAAATGTATTAGATTCATGTAGGGTGATCATGTCCTTAATTCTCATGACCACTCTGTTTTATAAAGCAGTGATATTACCAGGAGAAATTTGATGCCCATCACTCTTAGAGCTGAAAACGTCAAACCAGGTCCACTATTAAATGGCTGATGTAGCATGCCACTCACAATGTTTAGGGTCTTAGTTTGACTTTGGTCAACTGAAAAATCAGAATCAGTATATTAAGTGTTTATTTAGTGTCATGGGGAAGATTGCTGTAGCAGATAATATCAATATTGTAATAATTTATTTAATAGTAAACTTGTGATAAAAGTAAAAATTAAAACAGACGTTGCCTTTGCAATGTACATAGCCCAAATTAAAATATCTGTCAGCGAGTTGAAAAAACAACAACTTGTAGAATTTCCATATAGATGGCTGTTCTTAGCTACCTTGCGAGCACAGGCTACATTTTCACTGTGTGAGCTGGCATGCGCAAAGTAGCCTCTGCTGACAACCATTCAATTTTCTATAGTGGGTGTGCGGAATTCATCACGCGTTTGGCAAGCAAAACTAATTGTCAGGTCTGTCTTCAAATGGCGCGAGTTTCACAAGAATAATAAAATTGCAACAACTCTGATCTGCTACGCAAGACTCATGCAATGCTCTAAACCTGTCAAGAACAGGAAAAAACCCATTTTTTAATTTATTCATCCAGATTTCTGGACAGATTTGAACGGTTGTCGGCAGAGGCTACTTTTCGAACGCCAGCTAACACAGCAAAAATGTAGCCTCTGCTCACAGGGTAATAGCCTGCATTGCAGATATAATCTAACCCCAGTTAGTAACATCTGCGAAGCAGCACCGATATCCTTGTTCTGGACCCTCAGTGGACTCAATGAATTACCAGAAGGGCCGTTCTGAGTCTCCTTTCATCCTGAGTGGCGAATCGACAATGGCTTGTTTAACAGGCCAATCATGGTACGTACCCAAATCCTGGTGCATGGGTGGGGCCCAAAACAAGGATTCCGGTGCTGTTTCAAAGATGTCAGTAACCGGGGTTAGATTATATCTGCAACGCAGGCTATTACCCTGAATCCTGTGCATGCACAATAGAAAATTGAATAGTTGTTGGCAGAGGCTACTTTTCACATGCCAGCTCACACAGCGAAAATGTAGCCTCTGCTCACAGGGTAACTAAGAATAGCCATCTATATGGAAATTCTAATTATATTTCAATAATTATATTCGTCTGTGGGGCAGACTATAGCTAATTCTGCAGTTCTGAGCCTTCAGACAGGTTACAAGCTGATGTATAGTCTCAATCAAAGAGGGCATACACTTAATCTGTAGACTCTACTATGATCCATAACATTATCTTGTTTGTCTGTAGATAAACTATTACCTTGATGAAGCCAATGGCTGGAGGCTTGATATTGATGAACTGAAGAGATCTTTGAATGAAGCCAGGCCGCACTGTGTTCCACGTGCTCTGTGTGTTATTAATCCTGGCAACCCAACAGGTACATGTAATGCCAGAAATTCTCTGTTTTAATAGTCCATGGAAGTATCTTCAAGTTTTGCTTTTTATTATCATTAGTACAGTGATAGCGAATTTTTTAGGATAAAAAAATCACATTTGAACGAACATTCTTATGATTTTTTTATGTTTCTCCTAGGTCAGGTCCTATCTTATGAAAATGTCAGAGACATCATTAAGTTTTGCAAGGAGGAAAGACTTGTTCTACTTGCAGATGAGGTAGATATGCTTACGATTGTTCAACATTACAGCATAATTTGGTTATTTTTCCTTGGCCATAAAAAATTAGAAAATGATCTATCAAAAGAAGGCGCTTTATTTAAGTATAAAAATGGAACATAATTTTTTACACTACCCTTGTTGACAGAGTTAACTTTTTCAAACCTGTAGATGATTGGTAGAAAGGCTGAGAGATTGAATGCGTAATTTGAAGGTATTTTTCCTTCACCATTACTGACAGTTTTGATAAATTTCATTCTTCAAATTCAGGTATATCAAGCCAATGTTTATGGAGAAGGAATGAAATTCCACTCATTCAAGAAGGTTCTGCGAGATTTAGGTTCAGATTATGATGACTTTGAGCTCATCTCTTTTCACTCAACATCCAAAGGATTTCTTGGAGAGTAAGTCCAGAACTATATCCTGCAATGGCTCTAAGTAACTTTTGGGGAAGAATGCAATTATGCAATAAGGACTGGACACTAAGTTTTATATGCCCGAAAGGAGCCTGGTACTAGTGTATCTGACCGCCTTGTTCTCGTTTTATCTTCTTGTTATTTTTTAGCAAGAATTGCCATTTGTATTAAACATGGGTCTCTGTAAAATGGATGAATTCCTTTTTATGAGGAGAGCATAAAACAAGAACAATGTGGTCCAAGAAACTAGTACCAGGCTCCTATTGAGCATATAGAACTTAGTGTCGAGTCCTTATCTTATAATAATTGCATTCTTCTCTAACTTCCAACATTACGTCTTTGTTGGAGATGCTAGTCTTGTGGGTAAAATCATGACTAAGACCATTACAGGGCTCGACATTGCGACTCACTGGCCGCCAATGCGACCAAAAATTGAGGACTGGCGACTAAATTTTCAGAACTGGTCGCCAGCTGGCGACTCGCGTTTTGTCCGATGGCTAAAGAAAACCACGACACAACTTTTGTTTTTAAATCTTTATATTAGGAAATCAATCGGATATGGTAGCTAGTATCCAACTCACCTTTCTGTCCCCAGTAAAATAATGTCTGAATACTACAAGATAATCGAAAAAATTGAATGTATTTCGAAACGTCGATACTGCGTTCACGACGCGCCATATTGTTTCCGTGGCTTCTTCCGAAACTGGGATCGCAGGCGCACTTCAACACCATGTGCTTTTCATTTGCCGCGAAAATGGCGGCAGATACAAATCAGTTGAAGGAAATACGTGAGTATTTACGTGCGGGGAATGAAGATTCAGCCAAAAGGTTAATCCAAACTTTGAATCCTTCATCAGTTGTTGATGTAGGGAAAGTGGGCGGTTAATAAATGGATATAACTATCACTAATAGAAAAAGTACCTGAGTGAATAGTTCTTAACAACGTTTCTTTATACTTTAAGGTAAGGAGATAGCGATTCAATTCAAGCGGTGCTTCCGTAAACTCCATAATATTTTAGGTTTTACTTTCCTACAACGTTCTGTCTAAAATGAAACGAAGACCTAAAAAACGGCACTAAGCCCATTTATGTTTCCTCCCGGTCGGAGACTGGTACGAGCAATGTGGTGGCCTGGGCCAAGCATGGCGTTGTTTGTCGGCAGCGAAAGGCGTCGAGGAAAGCAAGTCGAATATAAAGAACGCCATTTTTCGTAGAAGTAGCAAAGGGCAAATCGCAAGGACCCGTGTTTGTCTCAGAATGAAAACCACGGACTTAAAACGTTTTATGCTTCGCTTCATTTAAAATGACTATGGAGACAACCATCACCTTCGGACCTGAGACATATCACCTGAGAACAACGGTAGCTTTATAACTAAGTGTTACTCATGTTGTTTCTAATTGTTTTCGCTCTTCAGTTGTGACTTTTCTTGCACGCAAAGTAACGTATAAAATCGTGTTCTTGTGTAAGGGCCTCTTTACATGGAGTGGGGGACCCTGGTCTAGTGGGGTTGGTTTCTTTTGTTTTCACGCCCTGGGGGACACAAAGCAAAAGAAACCTACCCCACTAGACTGCGGTTCCCCACTCCATGTAAACAGGGTCTAAGTTATATATAAAATAAGCTGGCGACCAAAATTGACGATCTGGCGACCAAAATTTTTCCGTTAGTCGCCAGCTGGCTCCCGAACGAAAAAGTTAATTTCGAGCCCTGCATTATTTAACCCAGTTTTAATCTAATTCCCTTTCTTTCTTAGCCTTATTCATAGGAGACAAAGGAGATTGTTGGATAGCCTGAGAATATTTTACCTGCAACATGATCCTCAAAATTTTGACAACAGTGTTCAGTTTATAATTTTTTGTTTGAACGCTTAAAACCCCTCCGGTAATAGGGTCACCTCGTTATTACAGCCAAATTCTTTTGGCCCATTGGTGACCGTATTAACAGGGTTTCACTCTATAGCCTAACATTATAACTTTCAGACAAAAAATTCAGTTGAAATACCTAGTCAAACCTGATTTCAAGATATCCATTCTACAATCCCGGACAAAAGTCCTTGGGACAATACTGCAATATTCATATTTTTCTGTCATTTCTTGGTTCCCTCTTAAAACAGTGCATCCTTTTCGACATTTTCTTGCAGTTCTCCCTCCTCCCACCCTATACAAAGTTGAAAAGTCTCGGAAAAAATTCTGGATACACCCGTCCAACATTGTTTGTGGGGTGAGGGGAGGGGTTGGACCTGTGTGAATTGGAAAATGCCCCAGAAATGCAAAAGTGTCCCAAGACTTTAGTCCATGATTTCAAGGTATCCATTGTAGTCACAACTGTCAGCTGTTAGTCAGTTTTTTAATCTGTCCCCATTACTGATGCATGAACAGGACTTCCTAGTTTCCTTCTTGTTATTAAAGTGGTGAATGCTTAAAATGTTTTTCATTATTACCTTTTCATTTTCAGGTGTGGCTTCAGGGGAGGGTACATGGAGATTGTGGGAATGGATAATGAGGTCAGATTACAGTTAAAAAAGATGATGTCAGCAAAGCTTTGCTCTTGCATTACTGGTCAGGTGAGGGAAACAATTCTCTGTGCTTTCTTCCCTTGTTTTTGGAATACTTGATCAGGATACTATCTAAATCATTTAATAGCTGAGAGGGTTAGTGATGGTACATTTTCAAGGTTTAAAATTTTTATTTGTCAGGAATGTCTTCATGTATTAAGTGAATAGCTAGCTTAATGAACCTGTGTCTGTTGAAGTTTTTCTGTAAGGAGTTGAAAACTTGATCGTCAAAGTTATTTCTTGTTATTATAAATTATGCTTTTCTTCAGGCCATGATGGACTGTCTTGTTAGCCCCCCTCAACCTGGAGATGAGTCATATGACACTTTTATTAAGGTAATTGCATGCATGAAATCCTCCTCTCTTAAAACTTTTATGTACAGGGCTAATGTATAAGATCTATGTGGTTCAGTTTTATTCTTGCTTCAGCTTTCATTTTCCTTTTAACTGTTTCAGTCATTGTCATATTACACCAATTAAAAAATATTGAACCACAACATAAAATAAGGCATCTCAAAAATAATACTAATTATCTCCTTACCAGAAAATAATCGGTTCTTGTGCTTGTTTATAATGTGCACCACTCAGGCAACTAGTGGATATATAAACATTTTTTTATTAATTTGCAGTGAAACTAATTAAAATGCTATAACTTTTCTCTGACAGTGTGGTGAATGTTTTTTTATGTTACCATAAACAAGTGGAGAGCCGTGGCAGAGTTATTTCACTTCTAAGAAATGTAAACTAAGATAAAAGAACTTAATGGGAAAAAATTAAATTAAAAAAAACAACGATCAGCCGAGAAATAAATTATAAATTTGACTTTTTTGTCATAAATTTGTGTAGTTTAAAACAGAGAATTATAAAAAACACTAAATTATCAGCTTAAATTTTCTATGCAAGTAACTCATCCTTAAATTTCACATTTTAGGAGAAAACAGCTGTTCTTCAATCATTCAAGGAGCGAGCCAAACTTGTTGCAGAAACCTTCAACTCAATGGAGGGCTTTAAGTGTAATGAAGTGATGGGAGCTATGTATGCATTTCCACAATTATTTCTGCCTAAAAAGGCTCAAGATGAAGCCAAGGTATTGTTATTTTCAAGTTATTATTTTGTATTGTACAAGAGATATTGTCTGATATTTATATATGGCTGCATTAGTGAGCACGCAAGATTGAGTGAATCTTGTGTTCTGATTGGCTACGTAAGTGGGCACGACCACTCAGGCTTTCCACCATTGATCCCGCCAGGAAATAATACAGTAATAAGGCCAATAAGGCCATTTAATAAAATTTGTTCTTTTTTGCATCTTTACTGGCCTCAAATTCCTCTTGGTCCATAAAAGCACAAAAAAATACCTTGGCCATGTATCCAGCCATTTCGAGATCACACTTAGATGATGCAATTAAGGTTACAATTCCTAGGATCATCAACATCTTTATGTATAGTTTCAATCAGATGGTACACTGCTCTCTAGAACCTCTAATTTCATTGGATCTTCCATAGCACACAGCTGACTATTCTGTTACGGCTACGTATAGGGTCCATTGTAATAGTACGTTGTTTGCTTATTGTTTTCTCAGCCATTCCTGTTAGGCTTTTAGGAGCTATTGTACCGTCCCATTTCAGTTGACACTCTGAAGTTAAACATCTTGTTCTCAGAAGTTCTGACAATTCTTGTTTTGAGATGTGAATTATGGTGTTGCATTACTCGTGTATTTAAATATGGGGAATTAGCCCTTTTTGACTATTGCTTGATCATCTTAAAATTGTGAATACAACAGTAATATGAGCTATTGTTATTGTTTTCCCTGTCCTAACAGGCTAAGGGTATGCATCCTGACAGCTTTTATGCATTAGAGTTGCTTGAAAAGACAGGACTATGTGTAGTGCCTGGCAATGGTTTTGGACAGAGAGATGGAACATTCCACTTCAGGTAAGAGATACTAAACCAGATTTCGCATGCAACTTTTTGTTTTTGCATTGGTTAAATTTAAACACCTTGCTGTTGACCAGTGTTCATCGAAATTTATCCAACACCACTGTGTATTTCACCAAAATCTGTCGAAAAACAAGTCTGAACAAATTATTTTTGTGCAAAAGAAAATGCAGTCAAATATTTAACTTAAAAAAAGATCATCACAGTTGTTGATGCAACTGAAACTTTTGTAGTTGTGAACATAAAGCCTGGAAGTCTTCAGGCTTGTACACAATGCACTGTTGGTTCAGCACTCCGCCAATTAGGCTAGCAAGCCAGTTCTGCATGGTAGCTGGTCTTTAAGCTGTTTGGTCATAAAAACCCATGAAACAATTTAAATGAAATAATTAAAATATGAAGGAATAATGTGTGAGTCATAAATGAACTGCAGGGTGAAGAATTTCACATGTAAGAAAAGACGCTAATCACAGCTGTCTTATACCTGCCAACTTTTTCTGAGATGTAGGCGTGAGATTTTTATCCTGGGAGTGCTGGGGTTTTTGAAAACGACACGATCATTTCCGAAGATTCCCGAAGAAGTCCGAAGTCTTCCGAAGACGTCCGAAGTCTCCCGAAGGCGAAGTTATCGAGAAAACGCTTATCCACAAAATCAGAGATCGCGAGGAAGGTGTTGTCATTTATTCATTTTACACATGGTTTTCGTTCCTTACATGGGTCTGAGTTAACATATTTTTGGAAATTGTGTCAAGCAAGACGGCAACAACTCACATTTTTCAATCAGGCGTGAGAAATTGGTCCGCGTGAGATCGAAGTTTTCAACCCGCAGGCGTGAGACTCACGCCTAAGGCGTGAGAGTTGGCAGGTATACTGTCTAATGAAACCCTTAAAAAGTTTATGCTTGTACATTACCAGCGCAGGGATTCCAACCCTTGACCTCTGTGATATACCAGTGCAGCACACAAAAACAATTATTGAGCTAACAAACAAACTAAAATAATGGGAGATGTTCATTAAAAAATAAGTTGATTCAATACAGTCAAGGAGGTTTTAGAGGGGTTATCCAGTTGACAGAATGAGATGTGCTTATAACTAGTGCTTTAAGGTATCATCCAGGGTAAAAAAAATCATCATTTTTCGAAATTTTCAATTTTTAGTTGATTAAGTAGAGCTCATCAAGAGCTTTCTTTTAAAAAAAATTCCAGGAAAAAAAATGTTTTCTCTGTGCAGACTTATGGAGCGCAAAAGTTTTTTCTATGCTAATTATTTTAATTTATCGTTGACAAGTCCTGTCATACTTGATACGCATGCGGCTGTTGAACCAAGCTAATCACGCAATTTGACAGAAATCGATTTTAGTATAGTGCTCACTGTTCTTCCCTGGATTTTGGAAGTGAATGCCTCCAGGGAAGAAAAAAGAGCTTGTCCGTTTCCGTCCTCGACTCCAAGACGAACGAAGACAACAAAATCGTTTTGCAAAGTGTGGGCTTCGAAATTAGCAGAGAGCGACAAGGGCTCCTACTACAATCAAGAAAAATGGCTAAAAGATGACAAAGCTTCTGAAAAACCCATTGAAACTACCGCGAAATCGAGTTTCACAAGTTTCTTAGTGAGCGTAGCGAGCTTTTTAGGCCGCCAAGCGGCCAAGCGAGTTACAAATTCGCGACAGGTCGCACACCATAAAAAAGTCGGACAAAGGACTTTTTTGAAAGTCTCTTGTAGCGGAAGAGCAGCTTCAAGAAAAACTCCAGGAAGCGGTTTGTTGTCAATTTTTCAAGAGAAGTGTCGAACTTTTAGAAAATGTATCGAGTACATTTTCTGGCTTGGCTCAAAATGAAAACTGCCCGTCTCAAATAACTAAAGATGCTTTCTCAACAACAGAAGGATCGAACAGAGCAGGGCCTTTGAAACAAATTGTTCATCTGTTCAGTCGGGTTTCGTTTGTAACCTTTTCCTGCTGTGTCACTATTGTTGTCCCTTTTCTGGAATGCATCAACATTGACAGCTTTGGTGTTATAATCTGTTATAATCTGGTCATGGGTAATACGCCGCCAAAAATCTTTTTCCCCTGTTTTCTCGAAATGAAAATCAGGGCAAGTTGAGGGTACGTTTTAAACTCCAAGTCGGCAACCCGTGAACCAATTTGGCTGAAATTTGGCCAACTTACTGTCAGATAGTTTTTCTAAAAAACCGTGTCTGCGAATTTTGATTTCTTTTTTCGTTTTCGAGTAAGAGTATTTTTTTCACTGGTAGTGCTAATGATTTGCTATCCCTAACTTCAACTGCTTATAACAAAAGAACAAACGCACTTCACAAAAATCTGAGACACGGTTTTTTAGTCAAACGTGTTAAGAAGCGAATGCAATCTTAATTGGCTTCTTCCGTTTATTTTTGGCTGGCCTGGACTTAAATTTACAGTGACACCCACTTTCACAAAAAGCTTCTCATTTCTGAATCGGGTTAATATTTTGATTTTTTAAAAGGAATAAGCAATAATCTGGAACTATTAAGCTTTCAGAAAATGTATGGTTTATGGGAGTATTTATTAAAAGCAAAAGCACTAGCGCCGATCAACGCGGGGAGGGTGCTTGAGGGTGGATGATACCTTAATGTAATCCTAGCCATAGTGTTTTTTTGTGATTTATACAAAATTGTTTAAACTATTTAAAATTATATTACTGCGATTTATTCAACTCTTTCACTACTTGTTTCCCCCTGTACCTTTGTAGGTTGACAATACTGCCACCAATTGAAGCCCTCAAACCTCTGTTTGAGCGTTTGAAAGCCTTCCATCAAGAGTTCATGGAAAAGTACAGGGACCCCAGCTCTAGTTTATAACTCAACAATTCAATTATTAGCATGAAAATTGGAGATCTGAAGTGTATGGAAACAGCCTTGAGTGGCATCTGTTCAATTGTTACTCGTAACCCAGAAGGTTGCTTGTTAATAGAAGGAAGGAGAATCTGAGATTACAACAAACAAATAGTCACTTTGATCGTAGAGCCTTCATTAATATTTGGCTCAAACTATTTTACAAAAAGAGAAAGAAATTAAAACAATAAGGATGTGTGTAAGGGGTTTTTAATACTAAAACAATTCCTACTTTTTGCTTCTAAACAGTTATTCTAAAGATCATTTGAGTTTACAACTCCTTTTACAACTTCTTTTTATCTATAATGGCTCTGATGGTTAAATTTTCCCTTGCCTCATAATATTTGTTTCTGTAAGTTCTAGTACCTTTTTAATTTTCAAATTCATGAGGGCTCGAAATAATACACTGATTCAGAACAGATTCAAGAAAGACTCGTAGCTCTGAGTTGGAAAGTACTCTATAAAAAGTCTTAAATTCAAGAAATTTCTTTATAACAATGTTGCAGATAATAATATCGTGTCACTTAGGAAAAGCTTAGAAAAAAGCATATTCCTCTTGAGACAGAACAATTATATTTATTTCTGGTTGACATTTTTTAAGTCTACTTGTCCTTAAGTTAAAAAGGAATGTGTATTAACAGTTAAATTGTGATATCTTAATTTATTATCAGAAAGTATTTTTCCACATCTATGAAAGTTTATGGTCATGTACAGTAGGGGAATAGCTATCCCTTAGATCAAACAAAATGAGGACAATCAAGCCAAGGTGTAAGAAATATTTCAAGACTAGCCTGGGAAGCATTTCAGAGTGAAGGGGAATACAGTCCCGGGGGAGGTACTGCCATATATGGGCTATATGGGTATTTGCCGCTGTGAAGGGTATGGTTTTCAAGCAGTTTACTCTAGGATAGGGTATATAAATCAGAGCGTTTGGGTCTAGAATAGGGTATCATTTTTCACGAAACTGATCAGTTGGTTGAAGATTTTATCTAGACAAGTGAAACAGCTACTCTAGGATAGGGGGATTTTGGGAGTTTACTCTAGTATAGGGTAGCAAAATTCAGCTGAACTAGCTCTGGTATAGGTCAAGGGTTCCACGGTCCCAGCAGCACATCCCCACCCAGAAATTCCTAAAGTGCCCCCCCCCCCGGAAATACAGTCGAACCTCCACTAAAGGTCACCTCTCTGCCACGGCCAATTTTTTCGTCCCAGCAGACAATAAATCCACACATTGACTCTTGTTTAAAGCCTCTCTTCAACAGCCACTTTCTTCTGTCCCCAAGGTGGCCATTGTAGACAGGTTCAACTGCATAAGTGCACATGATTTCTTCCTCCTGGTCTAATAACTAACATCCTGGCTAGTTTATAGTAAAAGTAGGGGGGGGAGGAATAATACTGAACAAAAAACCTTTTGAGATCTCATTTTGATTCCTTTTTATAAAAAAAATGCCACAGAAATTATAGCATTGTACAATGCTTAAATTCAAAACCTGTGTAATATTAAAAGTTGGGTTAAAGAGTATCTATGAATGTCTTTAAAGTCTAGGAATGCAAATAATGTGTGTGACTTGTTTGAGTGAGGAAATAAAATTGAGAAACTTGTTGTCATTTGTAGAACTATGAAAATTAATGTGAACAAGAGGTTTAGGGTACCGTGAATCTCCTGTACAACCATTTTTGGTCATTACACAATCCCTGAGTGCATAGGGGAGTAGTTGGTAGGTTGTGGTACTGGCAATCGTGCATCAGCCTGAAATTCTAACAAAAAAACCTTTGACTGCTCAAACCTTGGCCATCCCCACCTCCATGTGTTGGATAAGACTGAATGATTGGCTTGCATGCATCTGACAACGTCTATGATTTGTATGACGTGAGACCAAGAGTCCACAAATCTTGCAAATTTCTTTGCCCTGTCCTTGCAAACAAAATAAATGCAAGCAGCCAAAACTAGCATTGGAACCCACATTGTAAACCTGGCACCTTAATTACTCAACAGCACAAAAGTAAAGAGCTTTATAAAGTTCAGGAAAAAAAGGAATATTTTGGAAGATCAAGGGGAGGAAACATTTCAACATTTACTGATCACAATAATTTTATGTGTATTACTGACTCCCCCTCTCTGCTCTCCTCTCCTCTTAATTACCCCTCGCCTTCATCATTATTTTCCTTTCAACCAAAATGCAAACATGGTCACATCTTACTTTAACTGCTCAATTGTTCCCTGGAAAATCTAAGATGTCACTGAAGCATGGAAGCAGTATAAGGGCAACACTTGTCTCCTGCCTGCTTCATGGTACAAACTCGGGGGGCGGGGGGCGGGGTACTCAACCAATATTTGGGTATGGGTGAGCCGCTGAGGGTTTGAAACTCTGACCCTGTTTAGGACAGAAAATTCCTAAAATACATACCGTGCTTAGGACAACTCCCTCAATTTCATTACTAGAACATACTTGCACAAATCATGCACACTGTTTAGGACAGACTTGCGCAAAATTATGTACCCTGTCCAGCGGCACATCCCCGTATAGGCCATATAAGGGAGTAACCCCACCCCCACCACCACCCCCCCGGGATACAAAGTCATTTAATAACATTTTTAATGGCAACATTTTTTCCTTTTATTCCTTTCTTTGTTTCTCTTAATTTTTTTTATTCTTTATTAATATTCTACTTGACATCAAAAATAATTTACGCGTGGTCTTTATCAAGTAGTGAAAGCAGAACATGTAAAATGTTAACTTAATAACCAAAAAAAATAGCTTTTCCCTTACCCTTCTAGAAAACTTTATAAAGAAGATAATAATATTTATGAAAAAGACATGTTCAATAGTTGACAAATGTAAACATGTATTTAAACTTGCTGCATTATAAAACTGTCTTCTGCAATACGGATACCAGGCTCTCAAATCACCCAGCTTCTATATATTTAATTTACATCTTCTGAGATACCAAAGCTAGATCAATGTCAAGGTAATTATTGATTTCTACATTTCTTTGCCAAGCGCAGACATTTACACTGCTGGCAGTCCAATCATGATTAACTTTCAGGATTGTCACACAGACAAGCTTTTTATCAACAACTGTAACCTGTGACTGGGCATCAGGAAACTCTAAGGAAGGATGAACAGCATTTACTTTCTTTACCCCTTTCCAACCTATTTTTCTTAAATTGACAAACTTATGTAAGGCAGTACTGCCAGTCTAACCTTTTCTACTTGGAATAATATACTACTAACATCTTATTACATGTAACCTGGTCTGTTTGGTCATTAGGGGGAAATCTCAGACCGAGGCCTTGAAGGTCTGAAATATCCCTGTAATGACCAAACAGACGAGGATAATAATTTTATGTTACTTTATTGCCTGTGAGCAATTAAAACTGGTCAACAGATAAATTTAAAAAACACATCACTTCAATGAGTTGTACACTTGAGCCCATGATAAAGTCAGGTGACACTGTCAGTGGATACCTTTTTGAAAGCTGCCAAAATGGATGTCCATAATATTAGGATATCCATTATCAAGTTAAACACAGATTGTACAATGCCTTGGACACCAACTGTAGCTAGTAATACCTGGTCATTACAAGAAAATGATGCCTGGTCATTACAAGAAAACAGCCAATCAGAGTGCGCATACTATATTGTAGCCATATAATAAATTATACACAATAATGCAATGTCGCTCAGAAAGCTAAAGGCGGTGAAAATAAACACCTTATTATTTCCCTCCACATTATATACACAACTAGGATGGAATATGCATCCATGGACAAGAGATATCATTGGGGTTTAAAATAGAAATTTACCAGCTTGTAGATATTTTTTGATAAAAATAGTCACCTTTGTAAAAAATTCACTAACTTGTTAAAAACAAGGGTTTAACACAAATTAGACCACTAATTAAAGCAAATCTTACTTTTCACTTTCTACTGTTTGTCAAAGAAAAAAAACTCTAAATTTAAAAATAAATATATTTAGGCTAAATTATATGTTGTGGCTCAATTTCATCCTTGGTTTAATCTTTATGTTCTTTTGATTTTGGGTATGGTAATTTATGATAATGAAACAAAAGAAAATAAAAATTAAACCAAGGATAAAATTGAACTACAACAAATAATGTACTAACTATGTACAGCAACCATTTTACACGAACTTCATGCACGACTGTGATATCATCTTTTGATTGATGTCCATCAATATAAGTGAGTACATCTCAGCTTTTTCACGTGAGATATAGGGCATGACATCCACAGGTTCTCGGTTGTCTGAGCCACTTGATGTTTGGTCATCTCCCTCTTCATTATTTTGAACTGATTTGTTTGGTGAGAGAAGGGACTGGGGCTTGGGTTTGTTCTTGGAGCCTTTTGGTCGACCACGTTTGCGTTTGACTGGAACTCCATCTTCAACCAGTGGAACAGGCTGTGGAAAAAAGGTAAAGGTCCTTGTTTTACATCGGTAAGTCATGAGGGTATACTCACTGGCCTGACGAACCTGAAGCCTTGCCTAGTCCCTGTACGGCATTTTCCCAGTCCCTGTCAGTCAATTCACTATGCTTGGACCACATGACCCAAAACACTTCAGCCACACAGATGAGGCCTAGGCACTATAGGCAACCTGAGGCCAGCGTTGCACTCTTTTTACCCATTTTAATCTAACTCAGAACCTCCCGCACAGAAGCTCGCGCTCTAACCCAATGTGCCAATAATTATTGAAATCTAGTGGCTATGAAATGTGCTGATGGGACTCACTAATTCAATTTCTAGAAAAAGACTTTTTGGATAGTCCATAAATATATATGACATCAATGTACCTGAGTTTGAGCTGGGACAACATCTCTACTGACTTCAGTTTTCACTTTGTTTTTCGATCCTTTGGGACGTCCACGCTTTTTAGGCAGAACCACACCATCTAGAGTGGGAGGAAGCTACAAAAAAATTAACATTGACAAGATTTGAGACTCACTCATGAATGTGACATTAACTTTTAGATTTATGACTAAGTTAAGGCTTGTCTAGGTGCCTTTACTAATAGTGAACTTACGCAACAGGACGGGAGAGGGAAGAAGATGGCAAACCTTGTGTGACAAGCGTGACAATAATTTTGTTTGAAAAAACTTTTCCCCAAACTTCACTTTCCTTTAAACAGATCTTTTCGTAAAAGACCAGAAAACATCAGTGTTAAGTAAAGATCACAACAAAACACGAAAGAAACAGCCTTGTCACGTTTGTCACACACGAGCGTTCTGCCGTCTTCTTCTTCCTGCCGTCCTGTTGCGTCAGCTCACTAATATTCTTTTATCCGCGCAAGACCATCCCATCTCCAAACATTTACTGTAACTATATGAGGATCAATAAGACTGTTACTTGTGTCGACAACCCCCAAACCCATACAATGTCAGAGTGTGTGTATAAGTGCCATGTGCACCTAAGTCTACCATTAACCATATTGCTTGATCAAATTAATGTGTTGATTCTTCTATTGATGTTTGTTTTTATTCTGTTTGTTATTTTCTGTCTCTCTATTGTTTTTACCTGTGTGTTGTCATTATTGTTACTTTTACTATTATTTGCAATTTTTTTTCTGGACTTAGTAGTGGAGCTTGCTCTGTGAGTGTTAACTCCTTTTGTTTGTTACTAAGCATGTAAATAAATAAATAAATAAAATAGATGAAATGCTGCTTGACCAGAGTTTTTCAAAGCTAGGACCTTTAGTAACTGCATCCGAGATTTGATGGGTATTCTATCATGAATCACTGCCCACTACACGGACAACTTTCCTTTGAATTTCACTTGAATTTCTGACCACCATCAAAAATGAAATAATGTTAGTGGTTGACAATTCTTTCACAGCTACCTGGGGAAGATTTATTTGTTTTTCCTGTACATTCTCCAAGTTGACAACATTTTGCTGAGGTAATGGACATGGCATCTGCTCCGTTTTCATACGCTCCACAAGGTCTTCTGGGACAAGTGAAAATTCATAGTCAAAATCTGGATTTTCCTTTTTTGGCCTCTCAGGACGAAGTCTTTTATCTCGTTCTGAACCATTCACACCTTCCCCTGAAAAAAGAAACATTAAATTGAATCTCATTGCACATTAGAGAACATAATTGGCAAAAACATTTTTTGAATTGTTTCAATGTCACCATCATCTTTAGATCTGTAAAAATGCTGGGGGCATTTTCAGTACAGCTACACTACAATTTCTGACTTATTACCTTGCTCTTTTTTAACTTGCACTTGATGTAACTTCCGGCTAATAAAAACATGGCCACATGGACAAGACTTGCACGCAACGGGGAGCTGCAACATAAAAAAAGGAGCATGCAACTTAATTTCTAAAGACAGCAGTTAATATACATTTTTATCTACAGTGAAACCTGTATTAAGCGGACACCGTATTAAGCGGACACCCTCTATTAAGCGGACAGAAGCCGAAGTTCCAAAATTTATTTCTCTTATTTACTTTAAATGAAACCTTTATTAAGAGGACACCTCTATTAAGCGGATGCAGACACCTAAAAAGTACCTGAAATAGTCATTTCTATTGTTAACAACCTGTATTAAACGGACACTTGTAACCAAATTCCACCACCCAACATGCCAGACACCGGAAATGCGAAAGATTACCTCGAATTGTCACCCACAACTTTTTCATTTTTACATTAAAAAACGTGACTTGACCAACTTATTTGATTAATTTCACGTAATTTCACAGTACAGCATTGTTTTCTATTTCGTTTTGTTTGTATAGAGCTTGTTTCACTCATCTGATTTCGTCAAATTTGAGTTGCAATCTATGTTTATGGTACTATGATCAATTGGTCCACTTTGATAGAGAAATTGGATCTTGTTTACTGTGGGTAATGTCGACCGAGATATCGGTCGATATAGCGGTCGATATAGCGGTCGACACTCGGTCGATAGTCGGTCGACACTCGATCGACAGTCGGTCGATACTCGGTCGACACTCGGTCGATAGTCGGTCGACACTCGGTCGACAGTCGGTCGATATAGCGGTCGATAGTCGGTCGATAGTGGGTCGACACTCGATCGAGACACGGCCGATAGTCGTTCCAGATGTGTCTCGGCCGATATAGCTTTTCGTTCACCGACACTTCGCCGACTTTTCGCCGACATTTCGCCGACACTTCGCTGATACTTGGTCGATAGTTGGTCGATACTTGACCGATGTGTCGGTCAGTAATTGGTCGACACTCGGTCGATGGTCAGTCGACACTTAGCATTTCCTAAATTTTCCTACATTTTTGCGGGACCACAGGAGCAGCAGATTCAACTTAGGCTGAGACATGTTCTGTTTAACAGCTAAAACTCAGACGATCGGTGATGATACAAACTGGAAAAAAAAGGTTATCATGTCCTTAGTTCCCAGTGCTCTTCGGTTCTCTTCATAGCGTAATCGCGCCTTGCACTGGTACATGTTCCCCATCGCATGATAACAGTAATTAATGACGTCTTTGCTTAAAAAAAAAGCCATAGGACTCACCTGATAAATTAACACACGACTAATATTCGAACGACAGTTGACCGATATACCACCGACAGTTGACCGATATACCATCGACAGTTCACCGATATACGACCGACAGTTGACTGATATACCACCGACAGTTGACCGATATATCACCGACAGTTGACCGATATATCACCGACATATGACCGATAGTAAGTCGAGGTGCGTCGACGAAATATCGACCGATACTCGGCCGATAGTCTATCTCACTATCGACCGACTATCGACCGACTATCGACCGACCATCGACCGACTATCGACCGACTATCGACCGACTGTCGACCGACTATCGACCGACTGTCGACCGCTATATCGACCGACTGTCGACCGCTATATCGACCGCTATGTCGACCGATATCTCAGTCGACATTACCCACAGTAAACAAGATCCGAGAAATTAATGAAAACGTATATCGTCAAAGTCTCTGGGAGTTTTCTCAACATTTCCACTGTTCATTTGAATGGCATTTGACATCTCATATGACGCTATCTATCGAAACCTGTATTAGGCGGACACCCTGTATTAAGCGGACACTACAGCATTCCCTGGGGGTGTCCGCTTAATACAGGTTTCACTATACTTATTTTCATGTTAGCCAGCAAGTCCTTCAACATGGTCCACTGTACTAAGGCCAGTACCATCAACTTACAATACGTACTGGTTCATTGGTACAATGCTGGTACAATAATGTTGGTATCATGGTGATACAATGCAGTGAACAGAAAGTGCCCACATTTTCCTCAACCCTTCACATGGCTATTTTGACCTTTCATACTTGTTTATCCCACTACCTGCCACTGATTCTCCTAAGAACCTCTATCACACAATTTTTTTAAAGTATGTTCAAGAATGGGATCAGCCAATAATAACTATGGGTAAAATAGTTCCAGACTCAAAGTCACTAGTGTCGGCCATGTCAGCTGATTAACAGATAGTTTATTACAAAACTATAATTTTATAATAATTGTTTTTTATTACCATAATTACTAGCCCTCATTATAATAATAACAATAATTCATTGCTCTTATGATCACATTTAAGCAATTCAGGTAAAACATACTGTTAAACAGATACCTAAAACTTAAAAATGCTAAAGCTTCATTCATGCATAAATATGCTCCTATGAAAACATTTGTTAAAAACTAAAAAGTGAAGTAATAAACTCAGTTAAAGATTATATCATATTGCACTCAATTTTATGCAGTAATGTAACAGTCATTTGAAATCCTCAGACCCCCCACAATCTCAGGGATGACCAGGGCATTCACTTTTGAAGCAAGTAAAAGCAATTGAATTTTCCTCTCCCTGGGACCAAAGTGAATGGTGAACTTCCCTGCTCTAATATGACCCACACACACAGTACTCCCTTTAAACTGTCAACCCTTTCTCGTTGTCGCCAGCATAAAAAGGGATTACAAATATATTTATAGCTGTAAAATTAAAACTCATGCTTTACAGTCTTCTGAAGTTTTTATAAACAACAAGGCCACCAATACAAGAAAAATAAGATGCGGACCTCTCATATAAATGGCACAAAAAATGAGTTTGCATCTTTAATAAGCCACAACTTGGCTAATTTATAAGACACACTTTATATGCTCTGAAATGGTATAGTCTATGTCTTATTGAAGATGTGTCTTATTTTTCCCTGTATAAATAGCCCCTGATGTAACACAACAGACAACTACAATGATGCGGAGTACTGACATTCATACATGCATACATACATACACACATTAAAATTCTGCGCCAAAGATGCTTCCTTGTCATTGCAGTTAACAAAGTTCCATAATGATGCACCTCTATATATATGAGAGAGAATCTTCCATGTATCTTGACTCGTACCTTGGTACGAGAAGGCGGTTTTGGTCTCGAATAAAGTAAGTGCTAAAGCAATTTTGGCCAATATTCTCATACATTATATCAGGTAGGGATTCGCTACTATCGTCATACTCTAAGCAAAATACTATTTATCCAAAAGTAACAGCTACTATGTCTTGTGATATATGAAATCTTAATTAATATCTTTTGAAGAGAAATGGTTGTTTTAAAAGTTACGTTACTATGTGGCGCGAAAATGAAAACTGCTGATGACAGAGTGCACTTATTCCCTGGTCTGGGAACTGAGGACCGTGATTTCTAGCACATCCCCCGCTTGACGTGGAACAAAAATAGAGTGAGTATGAAGTGAAAGGCCCTGCATTACCCCGCTCATTCCCGAGGGGGGGGGGGATCCGAGGGTTTCAAATAACTGGTGCATAATTTTATTATATGTGATTTTCCGAAGCGTTTAATGATCGATATGAAAAAGTTAACGCAAGAAACGTAAGTCTTATTAAATACATTGAGTGATATTCACATGCTTATATGTTAGTCTTTTCTCATGGGAAAGAAATCGTGGTTGAATTATTGACGTAGCGGTGATTAAATATCATGAAATACGAGCTTAAACTGAAGCTTTTGCAGCCAAAGCTCTTTTTTAATGCTGAATATTTAAAGAAAACTATAACAATTGAATAAGGAGCTCTTAAGTTCTATAAAGTAAATGCAACTTGATAGATAGTAACTATCGAAATCGAAATCTAGACAAATCACAAATTGATAAACTTCAATCTATTAAATTTATTACTGGCCGCACTTATTTTAAAGCTTCAATAAGCTTAATTCCTAAGTTTCTCCTTTACATTACAATAATTATCACTTGTTGCTTACCGTTTGATCGCAGTTAGGGCATCGTTTAACTACCATATCAAAAATTTCATCTAATAAAGAGAACTTTGAAAAAGCAAGAAGTAAAATATTTTCATCAAAATTAGTGGCCGAAACAAAGTCCTGTATCAGAATGCTTTGGCTGACCGCCAGTGCCTGGGAACAAAACTGGAACCGAGACTTCTCGCTTTCATCACCAATCTCACTTTGCCACGGACGTGGACGGCAACGAGAACGGCAAAAAAGCAAATGGTTTATATAAGCAAAACGACAACTACCGTATTTATTCAATTAACCGCCCTGGGCGCTTATTACTTTTTTGGACCTTGAGAGTGGGCGCTTATTCGAGGTGGGCGCTTGTTCGAGGCTGGTCGCTCAATTAAACTTTCACCGTTTTCTGAAAGTGTAGTATGTTTATTTTGCGACAAAACAATAAATGGTCATAACGAAACGTGAAGATGTAACAAAGCAAGGTTTTTGTAAACTACCCCTTCTCTGAAGAAAACTCTGTCTTCGGGAAAATCTCTTTACATGACCTTATATTAGTATTTTTTTAATTTCAATCTCATTGTAAACACAAGGGTGGGGTGGGGTGGGCGCTTATTCGAGGCTGGGCGCTTATTAACTTTTTTTGCCTTTAGGATGGGCGCTTATTCGAGGTGGGCGCTAATTCGAGGTTGAGCGCTTATTCGAATAAATACGGTATGCATCACTCTTTTTTGCACATTTCTTTCCTGTCGTTGCACGACAACGACGTGAAAGTGCCTAATTTCACGTCTTGTCGAGGACGGGAACACAAGACAACAACTTTCTTTTTCTTTCCCTGAACTTTGATACAGTCTTTTAGGCCCGGTTCAGATGCCGAAGTTTTCATAAGGCGAACCTTATTCGAATTAAGGCCGACCCAAATTATTAAATTCCGCTGAATTGATTCAGACGCCGATCTTAATTGCAGCTGAACTAAGTTCAAAAGGCGGAAAATGCTCATTTCAGACAACTGCTTACAAAATACGTCATAATAATTTATTCATTAGGTTCGGTACATGAAAAGTTCGAATCAAAGCCGTTCCAAAAGTTGCTCCAAAGTCGAAACTCCCGGGCTAGGGCTGAAGAACTGCTGAGCCGTTCCAAATTGAAACAGGCGTTCCTGATTGATTCAGACGCCGAACGTTTCATGTTCTTAATTCAATGTATTAGGTTCGGCTCATGAAAAGTTCGGCGTCTGAACCAGGCCTTAATTAGTATTCAACTCCAGAAAAATTTGCCAACATTTGACGAATCAGGGGCACCCAACAACGAGGGGGGCGTAAGGGTTTGCGGTATTGCGGTATTGGGTCATTTTTGGTGCGGTGTTGCGGTAATTTTTATTTCAAAGTACGGTATTGCGGTTTTCAGAGTCCAAGCGGTTTGCGGTAAGTTTAAATTTTACGCCGCGGTAGTCGGTGAAAAAATCGTTGTGTCGCGGTGATCTGCTTCTTTTTCATGACAAGAGGATACAAATCCTAAAAGGTCTCCCTGGCTAGCCTGCGTGACCTGTGTGCCGCTGTGTGCACAGTCGGGGATTGTATTGCGCAAACAGTGCAGACAAATCGTATGGCTTCTAATTTCAGTCAATACTTGATATGATTAACGACATTAACTTTTTCATCCAATGATACGTAAACATGTCGCATTATTTATGACTTCATGGACCTTGTGGGAATAGTCAGCTTGATTAACCTCCTTTATACCAATCTTACCACCACTTTCGTGCCAGTCGCCAAACAACAGAGAGCGATCCAGAGGGTCAACTAAGTGATCAGTCAGATATTCCAGCAAATAGTGAGGTCAGTGCGATCGTTATAAATTGCGTAGTGTCGAAAGATAATCTATAAAGACGGTGTGGTCTAAAAATTACTACTTGTCCTTCTCGTTGTGCATGCAGGAATATAGAATGTACTAGTATTCGTGTGTGCTTACCCTACGTAGCATAGCAGCCCGGGGTTGGTGGTGGGGGTGGGGGTACTTCCTGATAAGAGGCTAATGAAGATGTGCCGCTGGATGGAGTCGCATTTTCACGACTGGAGTTACAATAATGGGGTCGCATTTTCAGAGAGTTTTTTTAGAATGGGGTCGCACATTTTCTGCTTTTTTGGGGGTAAGACAGTTCTTCATATTTACGGTTAGCAAAGGTACCAGAATGTTTGTATTGTAGATGAAAAGTAAAGAAAGTGACGAAGTTGGGATCGCGAAAATTAAATATTTGTTCAAATGACTAAGATGGGGTCTATAATTGGCCACAGAATAGACTGTAATGGGGTAGGGGCTCTGAGAGGCCAGCGGCACATACCAACCAAATATTAACCCAAGTACCCCTCCCCCCCGCCCCCACCCCGGGCATGGCAGTTTTACATGGTTTTGTCGGCAGCACCACTGTGAGCAGCGAAGCAGCTCCCGCCCCAATCTCCTCGCCCGCGCCCGCCTTATTTCGACTTATTATTTAGCGCGCCTAACCAAAACCGCCATGCTACGCAGGCTAGTGTGTACTTCTGTACTGTGTGCCCTTCGAATCCAAAAGGCAGCCCGGGTCGTCGTTTTGAAACCCTCAACACAGAACCGAGTTAATTGTGAATCTGAAACAACCTCATAAGAGTCAACTGTTTTCCGTCCGTTTATGACCCAGGTCAGTAATATATAAAGTGATACTAGAAAACTCCTGTTGTATCATTTACGTAAACGTATACATGTAATAAACAAAGCTAAACGAGTGCGATGATCTTATGTTTATCGTACGCTTGACATCGACGCACCTTGATTTGGAAACAGTGACATAAAAGTATTATTTCTATTTGAAAGGAGGATTTGTAGTATTGACAACATCAACTTTTTCACATTTGTAACTGCGGTTTCGGTATTTGGCTAAATTTTGATGCGGTATTGCGGTATTCTCGCGCTACCACGTGCGGTATTGCGGTATTCGTACCCCCCTTACGCCCCCCCCCAACAACGGTTTTCTCCTAAAATTTGTTTCTGTTCGGTCATCCTAGGGGAACTTGGATCTTTTCAAACTTTCAAGTGTTTGAGTATTATTTTCCCGAAATGATCTTAGATATAATTTGACGTATTACAAAAGTGAGACATTTTCTGATTCCTTTCTCCGTCACCTTTTTTGAATACGTAAATTTTAGTTTTCCTTTCAAAAACAACCTAACTTGGAAAGTGAAATGTGAAAATGAAACTTTAGAAAATCGTAGGGGATTTATAAGATAAGCTTCGAAAATTGTATGTGAATGGAACGGTCATTTAGGAATTTTTAGCCGTCCTCAAGTACAACAAAATTCTAGGCAATATTTGCTTCTTCGAACAGATATTTTGCAGAAAACTGTCGTTGGGTGCCCCTGACGAATTAAACGAGATGGAATAGGCGGGAAAAAGTTTAAAGCAGGGCGAATTCACTTTACAAAAGACATTTTCGTAACCATAGCCGTCGTTGTTGCTTGAGAGTTCCTCTTGCGAAACTAGGACGGAGACGACAACGACAAATCAGTAATGCATCTTTCTGAGGTGGTACGCAGTCCTCTATCTTTAGATTCCGCAGTTTATTTCCCAACTTTTAAACGATTTTGAATAATCGCGAAAAACTTTGAAAGAACGCGAAGTCAATTTTTCAGTGACGATTGTCACTCACTCAGCAATTCGAGGAAACGGCTGAAGTCAGTCAATACTGCCTTATGATTTTACCATACCATGTTAACCTTTTCTATTATTTTCTGTCTCTTAAATAGAGTTTCATTTAACGCTGGAAAAATGAGCAAAAGCTACTTAGCTCGTCAAAGCAATTTCTGTCTGGCCCCCGAGTTGTTCAAAAGGTGTGGAGCGCCGCTATCAAGCTTTTGACTGCAACTCCGCGGGCCTGGTTTTAAAAACAGCGTCATCCTAGGCCTACTAGCTAGCTTTTTAATTTTCTTGTTTAACTCGACCGATCTACTCACTTAGACGAAAGAAAAGTCAGTGGGACTAAGACACATTCTATGGGTAAAACGAACGACAGCGATAACTCAAAGTGGTTGAAATGTCAGTAGAGGAAATCCAATCAAATGACCACTGAGTGTACTGTAGGTAAACTGCAAAACAATCGGTAGTTTTGCTTATTCAAATCGCTAAAGCGATTTTAAGGGGAAAAAACAGACTGTTTTGTAGTCTACTAATGGTCCAGATTAACGGATCAAGTCAACGCATTTATTTTCTACGCTAACCACACACAGTCAACAAAAGCTGGTTTCCAGGTAGGGCATAGGACAAGGACACGCATTGCAAAAAAATAGAAGCGGTAAGTTGTTCACAAAAGTTGCACAATTAAGAGAGTAATTAATTACGTAAAAATGTATACAATATAGTCGAATATAGCTAGATTTAAATAAAATTATGTTGGTGGGAGTTTTGATGAGAAATCACTTAAGTTTAAAATATACACATATACAAATTAATGAATCAGAGCGATCCAGCAGAGGGCAAAGAGGCAAATTTGCTTTTAAATTCGGAAAGCGATGGCGCTGTTTTTGCCTCATAAGAAAGATTTTTCCAGAGCATTGCACCACTATACATTCTCTCTTGACTATACTTAAAAATACGTTCGAGGAAATTAGTCTTTGGCCTTGATCTAAAGTCATATGAAGAACCCGTAATGACCTTACCCGTGACGGTTTTGGATTTTTTACAACTTGTCTTTCAGTTGCTTTCCACAAGTATCCCATTTAGTAAGGGGGAAAGTTATCAAAGTAAGGTTGTACGAGTGAAGGGTGCAAAGTGGGACAAAAGGTTTTTAAATTCTTCTTAGAGCTCCAATACCAGCACACGCCTTTTAAAATACGGTATATACTCAATGTGAGTCTCAAAAGTAAGTTTTTCATCTAATAATACTCCCAGACATTTATTGGCGGATCTTCTCGAGCGCGAAGCGCGCGCAAGCGGAGCCGCACACAGTAATTTTTAGGGAGTCATTATAACTCCAAAAATAGAGTAAAAATTTTAGGTACAGGATAACCCCCTTCTTGAGGTTACTGTAACTCTTTTTACTCCCAGTCTTGAGTTAAAATAACTCCGAAAATGGGGTTATTTTTACTCCTTACATGGGTTGTTTTTACTCTGTTTAGAATTACTTTAACCCTCAAAGTGGAGAACAAGATAACTCCTCTTTTGCGGTTATTTTATCTCCTCAATATTTGGGGTCATTTTAACTCCTGAAAAAGAGTTTTTTAAACTCCTTTTTGGAGTGAAAATAACTCCCCCAAAAATAATTCCACTGTAAGGAGTTAAATTAACCCCACTAGAGGAGTTATTATAACTCCTTGAAAATTATTGTGCATAGCTAAGCAAATTTGGTAATCTATCCATCCGAGAAAATTTGGTTATGACGTCAGCGTACGACCTCCCGTCCGTACAGACGCTGGGGGAGGGGGAAGGAGCCAGACGTCAGTCCGTCGGGGGAGGGGTATGTTATAGCTGAGGTGAAATTTTGTATTTCAAGCAACTCGCTCGTTTCGGCGGTAAATCGCATGGCTGCTTGGACTTTAAGAGAGAAGAAAGCAACAACAAAAAAACGAGTCTTTCTTTCCACTGAATTTTAATGTCTTCATTAACTTAAATAACAGGGAAAGAGCTAGAACGAGAAATAAATAACAACGGAGACCAATTTCGTTGGAAGAAAAACAAGAAAACTATATAGCGGCGGTTAGAACTATGAGAAATGCTGGCGGCTACCAAGGTGAAAATGAGCGGCAGAGAGAATAGGAACACACTTCCTCCATAAAACGTGTAAACAGGAGATAAAAAGAAGTTTCACATTTTAGTCGTGCAAAACAACGACAATGAAGTGTGAAAAAAAGTGTGCTAAACGTGCAAAGTTGTTTTTATTTTTGCTAATTACATCTATTGTTGTTGTTTTTTTCCGTTCTCGTTGTCTTCACCTTGTCTTTAGTATTACTCAATTTTATATTTTCTTTGAGGAAACTATAAATATCAAAGAGAGCTTCGCTTTTAGCCCCTAAATCTATATACCGTAAATCCTCTATTAAGCCCCCCCTCTCAAAGAAGCCCCCCCTTTTTAGAGGTGGAAAGTTAATAAGCTCCCCGTCTCTATTAAGCCCCCCCTCCCCCTCCCCCTTCCCCAATCCTTATTCTACACAAAAAAAATTAATGATTAACGTGGACTAATCAGTTATGGTTTATTCAGGCTGGAAGTTCATATTGTTTTTGGTCTTCGGCCGCATGATCATGACCTCAAACTTCATATGCTTAACTTTCTAAACTTTGCGCTCTAGTTCTCTGTGGAGAAAGACCGTAGAATTATAGTATCATAAATTTCAAGGCTGTTTATATAAAACGTTTAAATGTAAGAGATAAAAAATGTAAATATAAGAGGAGTTTTTCAGAGAGTTTCGTTTGTAAGTTGTGTACGACAAGTCAATACAAGTAACTATTTTCATAACAATTACCGACGAACATTTTTGAAGAATAAGAATTTTGTTTTTGTTACTTTTAGGCTCCCACAAGTGAATTAAATACTTTTGACAGTGACTTTAATTGTACAACGTGTAAGTCTACTCTGTCTCATACCACGGTATTTTTGCTACAGCAGGTGATGCGTTTCGCTAAATCAAATAAGCCCCCCTTCTCTTTTAAGCCCCCCTCTCTATTAAGCCCCCGCCCCCCCTCAAAAGTGCTTGAGAAAAAAAAGCCCCCCGGGGGGCTTAATAGAGGATTACGGTATTAGACATAACCAAATCGCCTGATCGCAGGTTATATTCGACAAAACTGTTTGAATGCAGAGGTCCACGCAACGCGTACATATAACGGCATCAGTGACTCCACTATGAGCTTTCTGAGTCTATAACCCGAGCAAAGTTCTTAAGCTTTCTTACCATTTGTATTGTTCCGTAACAGCTCTTGCACGTTGCTTGCACGTGCTCATCCCAATTAAGATGCTGGTGGAAATGGACACCAAGAAGCTTACTTACATTTACATATTCTCATGTACTATCTGAGATTGTAATAGCTGGTCGGTTCTTGTCTAAACTATGTACATGTGACATCTGGCTTGTGGATAGCAACATCGTCTTTGTCTTCTTCAGGTAGAGATTCAATTAGTTCTTCAAGACAGAAAGGTAAGTCACTACTAAGAGGTAAAGTTCTCCTGGCAGTACAAGCAAAGAATGAATTTAACTTATCGGGATCCTGCCGCAAGGGTTGCTGGTTAGGTTTCAATATGCGGTGGATAATACGCCAGACCTCCTTCGGTTTATTAGAGGATTTGTGAAGGTGTCGCGAGCTCGACGAATAGCTGCCTTCAGCTTGTTCTGACGTCCCGAAGAAGTTCCCAGGACTCCTTAGAGCCGGTCTGGTGGGCTTCCTTCCTGAATTTATTTCGCAGCTGTTGTAGTGACCGTATTTGGCTGTCGTCCATCGAGGGTGCTGGCGGTCTCGTAACTTGCACCCTCCGAAAAAGTATTCTATTCTAATTGTTCGTCCGGATCATCAGATGAGTATACAATGTTCAGAGGCAGTGTATCCAAATCACTAATAAATTCTTGCTCATCGAAAATTTTCATATTCCTGATATATTTGTAGCGCGGTTGATACCGATTGACGCGCACATTTATGCAGGCAAACGGAGCATCATGGTCGCTTACAATACTGGTAGGAATGACATCAGTGACAGAAATGCGCATTGGGTAGTTAGTAATAATATGATCAATCTGTGTTCCAGAGGTCCTAGTGACTCTAGTCGGCTTCGTAACAAATTGCTCGAGCCCAAACATGTCTAAGGTATTGCTGTAGCGTGTAACGAGAGAGTCAGGACGCCGATAAGATCAAAGTTAACAGCTGAAGTTAATATCACCTGTACGAACCACCATGCCATCCCACGTGGATGTGATATGACTAAGCAAGTCCTCGAAACACTCTAGCCAGTAGGAAGCCGTCATCAGTAAATCTGAACTGTAAATAACTCCAAGCAACAGTTTACTGTGTTTGTTTCTTGGAGCTCCAGCCATAAGTGCTCCAGGTCCGGTTGCGTTTTTTCAATATCAAAACGCCGTCAATAAGCAACGTTCTCTTTTATGTATAGCCACCAGCTCCCCCGACTTTTGTGGCTACACGATGGCGAAATTCTGTAGCATATCCATCTATTGACACGTAGTCAAGCTGTTCTTTTTGATCTCGCAACCATGTTTCACGAAGTAGAGCAACGTCCATTGGATAGGTCTTCATTGTAAGTAGAAACTCATTGAAGGTTGACGCCATTGCTTGAGTATTCAAATTTATGACTTTAAGATTACTGCAGTTGGAGCTGAGGATTTCTTGAATATTATCAACCAAATTTTCATCAAGAGAAGTTTCAGGGGTTGTGTCCAACTCAGAGCATGTGTGGAAAGGCAGTAAGGATCCTAAACACTGGCCACATGTCCATGTCAGTAGTGTGTCGGCACGGACTTGCTTTACCTTAAAGCTAGCGATTCCAGAACAGCGGGCATGTGTTAGTGATATACAGACCTCGCAGAGGACACCCTTTTGATTTTTCCGAACTGTTTTCTCACAGGAAAGGCAAATACCAGCAGAAATGTTGCGGTTACTCATTTTTTTATTTTTGGACATGTTAAGAGCTAGGCCGGGGTTTGATGCAATATCTCCAGCAGATATTAACAGCTAAAAACTAGCCACACTATTCGGATAATATTGTAATCTCGACGCGTGTCTCTTGGCCCTTTTAGCGCCAGAAAAACCGCCATTCACTTTACCGCTATAGGAAGGTGACAGAACCTATTGTGTTTCAGTCCGATAAACGAACAATGGTATCTTAGGCGTCGGAGTAGGCGGCTGTAATTCCAGGTGAGCATTCCAAGCCAAAAATCAGTATAACTCGGTGTTCATTCAAGCAATAGATGAGAATATTGACAGAAACGTGAGACATTTGTCGCGGTGGCTGACTTCCATTCTCCTTGAGTTTCCAATCTACAGCACAAGTCAAAGGTTCATTCGCCAAGAATCTAGTCCTATTGTTAAACGAAAAGGTCGAAAACATTTCCAAAGGACGAGGTCACTGCTGAATCAGACCCAAGAAGTCCATCAGCACACGTAGCGGCTCACGTCCGCCAAAACTTCTGCCAGAGGCACTCTGGCTCCTTAAAGGTAGGGTGGCTTGCGTGTACTAGGGAGATAATCGCCCTACGAGCAGTAAAATAGGCAAAATCGAGGAACTCCAGAAACCGTGACTCCTCATTATGCATACAATGTATAGTTTTGAATGCCACTCACTTTTGTAACCTTGGTTAGGTTGGAACCATTTGATTACCCAGTCAGGAAGAGTGGTGTAATATTTGTCTACCGTGTGCAACGAATTTTTGCGGGAGTTTACTTTTGCGGATTGGCCATTTTTTTGTTTTGTGGGAACTAATTTTTGAGATTAGGACAGATTGTTTTTTCCCGCTGGGAACTAATTTTTTCGATTTTCAGAAAGTACCAAGTACACATTGTTAAAATTTTCGTTTTTGTTAAGTACCTGCAATAGATCAATACATATTTTCAAACAGTACTGCGGTGTGCGTACCCCATGTAAAACCAGTATTTCAGTGTATATCGTTTTGAGGTAAGTTGTAATTGAACAGACACGATTTTTTACTTCTGTATTTTCGTGTAGCGAATCTAAGAAGAGAATAATTACTCTGGAGTACATTTTTGCGGGCAAAATGGTTGCGGTAATTTTTATTTGCGGGAACTTATTTTTGCGGATCGCTGGAAAAATCGCAAAAATTAGAACCCGCAGAAATTTCGTGCCACATAGTGGTCCTTGTACTGCGTTTTCCCAGTGCCTCTCGGTCAATTCACTTCGGTGAAGTATCCATTTTCACTTGGATCACGTGACTCAAAACGCTTTGGCCGCGCGGATTAATGAGGCCTAACGACGAGGCAAGTGTCGGCAAGTGTACACTAATATGAAAATGACCTGCAAACGAGCCAGGCCAAACGTAACAATCAAGTCACGGACAAGGGCAGGCAGGGTATTCTGCAGATACTCCAAACTTGAGAAACTAAACCTTTATTAAACGGTCATTTACTCAAGTAGTTTAAGGCCTGGGACTAAGGGGTTTTCCTGTGGAAAATGATTTATTGGCTATAACTTCGGCGCAGATTACGAAGCTGAATCAAAATTTGGCACTCATAAAGAACTCATCGTCCTTAACATTTTAAAGTATAAATATTGTGTTCATAAGTCACGTGGTATGTCACGTGACTATTTTGCTAAAAATCGTATATAACTGAAAAATTGGTGGCGGGTTTTAAGATAAGAAATCAAGCAACGACATTTTTCTTATTAATATTAATCATATTTCTAACATTTCTCGTTTGGAATGACCATCCATTGCAATTCAATAAAAACTTGTAAGGGTAAACAACATTTTAAAAGCCCAGATATAATCTTGAATTATTTAAAATTGTAATTTTAAACTTCGTGTACATTCATTTCAAACGTAGAAAGCTACGTATGTTTAAGCTTGGTTTCATCTTCTTTATAAAAAACATGTCATGAATTATCAGACACCGGACAGCCTAATTTTCCAAAAATTAGTGAAGTTAAAACACACAATTTTTCCATCCGGACAAAACCGTTTGTCCTTAACATATTTTCATTTTCATTTGCACGTGCGAACATGTTACTTTTGTTCCCTGCTAGTTTATTTTTTCACTTAAGTAAGTCACATTTTAGTTTTTTTGTCTTTTCACTTGATAATGATGTCATGGCGACATCAAAATCCGACATTTCGGGGCACCAAAATCACCAAAATCTCTAACAAAGTGTTTCTGGATTGGTATGCAAAGATTTATCACATTTTTCGTTGGGACAAAAAAATGAAAGACAGTTAATAGTTGGCATTGTAAGCGTGGTCGGAAAGTCAACAATCAACTACTGTTTGATTAAAAGTAATGTTTTTAATAGTTACTGAGCCGTATACATCCCCATTACTTATTGCACTATAAATGTGGCTCCTACTTAATTTTTATCAAGGTTATCAATGGTCAGGCAGAGCTCAAAGCAAAGAACCGTGAATGTCCTCCGAGTGTTGTCTTGACCTCTTACTGAGATGGAGGAACTTCCTCGATCATGATTCGGGTCACGGAGTTGAATCCAGTATAAGCATCTGCAGCTTTCTTTCCCACACAGCTACCGACATTAATTCCCACTCGGACGGTTCCCTTAGCGATTCCTTCGCAGTATCCTCCAATCTGAGTAACTTTGTGAATGTTGCTGTCTGTTCTTCCATGATTTCTATAAATATGCATCAAACCATCAATGGCGAAAGGTTTGCGACACTCTACACCGTTGAAGGTGAAAAACCAACGCGAGCAACAATCGAGACAGTAGGCGATTCTGAAGTCACCATTGTACTCCACTTTCAAGGCTGTGTTATCGGCTACTTTTTTAAAAACGCAATCCTCCAAAAAAAAATTAAAAATGTTAAATTTTCATACACCTAATTGCACTAACGTTCTCGTACAGAAAATAAATATAGGGATTACCAATTAGCCATACAAGTGACGTTTTGATATTTTGATAACCCTGAAAACACTTTTGTAGTATGGTACATATTGGGTAAATATAACACATTGTACATTGTACACCAATAAAAAAAAACGTCGACGAGATTGACATCATAGGAACTGAGTTGAGAGAAGGAAAATTGACCAGTAAAGATGTTTTCTACGTCATTGTCAGAGGTTTTATCGGAACAGATCCCTAAATGTAGTGAGCTTGCCTATAGTAACTTATATTTAGCTCTTTTCAATTCTCCTTATTTTTCATTTCTGACAACAAAGTTATTCTTTATATATCAATGCAAATAGAAGGCAAAAGTCCATAAGATAATTAAAAATTACGAAATTAGTGTAAATTCTATGAGTAAAAAACATAAAGAAAACACATAAATTACTATCAATTAGCCATTTTACCTTAATCAATCCACTGTCTTTACCCTCGTCCTTCTTCCAGGCACACTGTTTCCAGTTTCTCTGCAGGCCTTGGTTACCCTGTTCACCCTTAGCCCCTTTAGGTCCCATTTTTCCTGGTGATCCTGCTGATCCTTGGTCTCCTCTAAGGCCCTTGTCTCCCTGTGGCCCTACAGGTCCCTTATCTCCTGGTGGCCCTACAGGTCCTTGGTCTCCCTTGGCCCCATCTCTTCCATTGAGCCCAGGGACCCCAGGGACCCCTGGTACGCCACTGGTTGAAGTGCTGATGACAGTCGGGCATTGATGCGTTACCTATTAATTATATAAAAAGTTCATTCTTTTATTTCGTTTATAGATATCGTGGTTCTGTTATCCGAATATCTGGGTCTGATTTAAACATTTCTTAATATCTGTTGACATGTTTTCCTAGACTGTTTGCGAAAACCAAACCAACTAGCGACGAAAACGACTTCGTCAAGCTTAAAGCCATGCAAGCTAGAAATCTCTGTTCTCAGGGTAGTTTATAGTTTGTGGACTCTACGCCACACCGCTGTTTGATTAAAGCTGCGTCGAACCAGTACAAGTGTATTCGGATTTTTTGTGAAACGCAGCCTACTCAAGGAAGCGCTAGAAAATAAATTTCTTGCACTACACTGAGAAGTTGCATCGAAGAAAATGTATCATACGCAGTGCGTTCATAATATCCCGCTTGATAAAAATCGCTGAAAATCGCGCGTACAACTAAGGGAAATCATGAAAACTGTAGCGCAAAATACTTACGGTTGACTGTTTAGCAGAAAAAGCTAACTTTGTAACCATACACATGGTGAGCAAGATTGTTACAGAGCTCATGGTTCTGTCTATTTTGGGTCGGTATGACTGAATTTCTCTGAGTCTTGAAGCAATCTGTAAAAGGAAAGATAAATAATAATAGATCAGCTCAATTTTTTGTACCCTGAGAAGCCAATTAATATAATTACTTTAGCCTAAAATCGCGGGGAAAGGCGTGAGAGAGATTCGTTATACGTCACACCGGGAGGACGTTTCAACTGAAACAGGGACAAGCACATCTTGTTTTGGAGACAATGACTTTGATTGTACACCGATAGAGTATAAAGGCTACAATCGTCGGCTTCAGTGTTACTTGTGTTAGCTTTATCATTGAAGCATCTCTTAAAAGACTAACAGTTCTGCTCTTGAAATCTTCAATCCTTTACTTCTAGGGGACTGCAACGATGTCTGGCTTGAGGCTGAGGCTACAACTGATGTCTTTGACTAATGGCGCACAGAATATTAGTTGATTAAGCGGAAGTCTATATCTCTGCTACGGGTAAAAACGAGTTCACTGGTGACCTTCCGTTTTTCTGATTGGGTAAAAAGAAAACAATCGACTACCTTATGGTGCGTCAGTATGCGTGTACACACATCGACAAATTGATTTGTTGGATAATAATTCAGTAAAAAAAAATTAATTGGACTCATAGTCAGTATGTTCATTCCAAATTGTTACAATCAGTCATTTCTACGTTAATTTTCGAGTTAATATTCCTTAAAAGCCAAATTTCATTTACTGAAGTATACTTTAATTTAATTTAAATTCTGGTTGAATTAATAGGGTACTGCTGCTCTTTTCCCAATGCAAATAATTACATTCAGTCTGCATTAGATAATGAAATAAAATGAAACAGTTTTTCATTGGTATTTTCAATTGTTCATTCTCTTAGGCTTCCAACTTTTCGAAAAATCATGGTTTCCGAAGAGTCTATTTTTTCTTGGTTCTCTGATTTTAGTAAAAGACATGTTAATAAAATCAGTTGATTGATGATTTATTCAAACACAAAACTGAACAAGAAAGCCATCCCACGTACATCACGCATAACGAAATCTTGAAACAGAGCAAAACCCACCATACTTCAGAACCACAAAAACAGAGCTTCCGTACGAGAATTTATGAAATAAAGACATACACCAACTTACCTTTTATTCTTTCTATTATCATTAATTTAGTACCCTCGAAAGCTATGCGAAATCGAGCACAGTCATATTAATGACATCATAGAGAACTTTAGAAATTCAAATGAATGAAGAGAATTGAGTCCTCGAATTTTTTTGGCTGCTTTTCTACTAAAAAAAGAGGTTTAACCGAAGATTCGATCCCGAAGGAGTGAGATACAGCAACTTCTAGATGACTAGAACGGATCCATCGAATTATAGCACGAAGTTTGTTTGCTCCGGGTATTATTTGAGAATTTTAATATCTATAGGCAAAGGCTGTGAAGGTTACGTACCGGATTATATTCCCCTCGACCACTAAAACGTTGAAAGCCGCAGCACATACAACATGGTTGATGGTGTCGTGGAGTTTAAGTTACCTGGATATTTGTACAAGTCGGAAACGAAGCAGGACAACGACGAAAGACTCGCCTGCTTCTCTTTGGCGATTTTACACGAACAAGAGCCATAAAGAGACGCGAAACAATGTCAGCAGGAATACTTAACAGGACTGTAAAGTCTGTGGACGAGATTGGACCCCATCTTAAGCCACAAGCGTTAAACGCCATGTCTCGGCTGTCACGTCCCCAGGAACAACTATTGATTGTAAGGTGTCATGGGAAGGCGATGCAACCGAGGCTGCCTGGGCATGGACGAGTTTGTTACAGAAGTGGGGGGAAAATACCGTGGTTTCCCCGAGGAAATAGGGCTTCAAAATGAATTTTATTAAACACTTAAGAACAAAATTTAACGAAAAGAAAACACAACGTTTCGAAAAAAGCTAAAAACTGACTTAATGGCGGAGCACTATGGGTAAGAAAATTTGGTTATCCATACATCCTAGAAATTTTGTAGTGACTTGTAGTCACGTGATCGTACGCCCGTCCGTCGACACCAGAGGCATCCAGTGTAAGATACATGTAACTCAATCAACAGGTATGGCAACCCAAATACAACTCGAGACGTTTTGGCGGGAAATTGCATGGCCCCCCGCGAAGGTAGAGAGAGAGAAAGAAAGAGAAAACAAGAAAGTAGGTGAAGGCTAGGGGAGCTCAACGAGAACTGAAGACCGACAGAGAGCTAGAAGAGAGATTTTAAAAGAAAGCAAAGGAGACGAATTTCTTTGGAAGAACAACATGATATACCGCCGGAATGAAATAAGAACTGCGAACGGACAGTAAGGCAAAAATGAGGGGCAGTGAAAAAAAGCGAGCAGGAACACAAGCAACAAAATTTTTTGCGTGCACATACGACATTTTCTCCATAAAACGTGTAACTCGGAAGTTTCACGTTGCAGCAACAACGGCAAGGAAGTGTACCAAAAAGAGTGCTGCAAATGCAAAGATGTTTTTTTTTTTTTGCCAAGTTACACCGACTGGTTTTTGTTTTTGTTTGTTGCTGTTGTTTGTTGTTTTTTTTTGCCGTTCTCATTGCCGTCGACGTTTAGCACTACACGATTTTATTTTTGGTTTGAATAAACGATAAGTATATTAACGAGAGCTTCGCATTTAGCCCTGGCTAAATCTATATCTTATGTACAGTTTGAAGCGACAAAATATTGTAGAGAACAAAAGTAACATGTTTGCACGCGTAAATGAAAATAAAAATATAATTATGTTAAACAAACAGTTTTCCGCGGATGGAAACTGGTTGTGTGTGTAAGCTTGGTTTGGAAAATTAGATATCCAGATATGCTTTTTATTAAAAGAGGAAACCAAGCCTTATCACGAGAACAGATTTCATCAGGGGAAAACTGTTTGTATTGAACATATTTACATTTAATTCTCATAAACACGTGAAAACATGTTACTTTTGTTCTCTAGTTTATTTTGTCACTTCAAACTTAATATATTTTTAAATCAGATTTTTTTTATAAACAATATTTATTGCAACATTTGCTCTAACAGCCTAAGGACTCATCTAGAGAGCTTACGCTGTTTACATTCACAGCAATTTAAAAATACAAATACACGTCAAGATCGAACAAACACACGCATGAAAAAGCGAAAGAATAAAAAAGAAAAGAAAAAACTAAGCAAAAAATGAATAAATATAGAAAACACGCACGGCAACTAACAGGGGCGATTTGATAGCAAAATAAACGACTGAACAAGCTGAAACAACCTAACGTTGATTAGAAATTAAATCAGCAGTAGAAATATCATTTACCAGCCAATAGATTTTTTCTTATCTGAGGCACATTTTATGCCATCTATTTTCAAGCAATTGTGCAGCGGAGGTAAACAGCTTTTCACGCAGAGCAGCAAAACTTGGGCAGTATAGGAAATAACGTTTCATGTCTTCAATAGATGCATCGCAAAGAGCACAGGCAGGGGAAGAACAGCAATTTTTCTGAAAAAGGTGATAATGTAAGGCACTAAAATTAAGTCTCAAACGAGTGTGAAAAATTGACGCTGAACCATCCCCAATACAAAAAAGATAGCTGCGAGATGGAAAATGCAGGAATTTTAAAAGGTTACGCTTGAAGATGCCTGGAAAAGACCAATCAGGTATTGACGTCAAGTCATGATTAAGTTTAGAAGCGCAATCACTAGGAGACTGAACTTTTTCCAGCAAAAAACAATCATCAGCAAATAAAAAACAGCGAGAAGAGATTGTGACTGGTAGGTCATTAAAGTAAATGAGAAACAATTATGAACCTAAGACCGATCCCTGTTGGACACCAGCCTCGATATTACGACAATCAGAATGCACTCCTTCGATTATCACTCTTTGTTTACGACAAGAAAGGTAACTTATAAACCAGTTTAAGAAATTTTTTTCTATCTTGTCTCTTGGTAGTGATCTCATGGCAACATCGAAACGTTGTGTTAAACTCTTTTTCCTAATTTTTATTTCTAAATAGTACTTCATTTGATATTTTAAGAAAATTTAATACTCGTGGATTAACCAAGCGGGTTTCATCACTGTTACCCTATTTTTCGGACCACTTGTAATTCGAACAGTCCCCTAACTTAGACCGATGAATGGAGACACCAAAATCTAACAAAAACTCGCTGGATTGGTATGAATAGATTTATCATATATATTTCGTTGGGAGAAAGAAAGGAAACGAAGTTAATAGTTGGCACTGTTAGAGCTGTCAGAGAGTCAACACGCAACTACTATTTGATTAAAAGTTATGTTTTTATTAGTTACTGAGTGTACATCCCCATTACTTGATGCACTATAGTTGTGCGCTATAATGGTCAAGCAAAGCTTAAAGCAAAGGACTGTGAATGTCCTTCTCTGCGTGTTGCCTTGACCTCTCACTGCGATGGAGGAACTTCCTCGATCATGATTCGGGTCACGGAGTTCCATCCAGTATAAGCATCTGCAGCTTTCTTTCCCACACAGCTACCGACATTAATTCCCACTCGAACAGTTCCCTTAGCGATTCCTTCGCAGTATCCTCCAATCTGAGTAACTTTGTGAATGTTGCTGTCTGTTCTTCCATGATTTACATGAATATGCATCACACCATCAATGGCGAAAGGTTTGCGACACTCTACACCGTTGAAGGTGAAAAACCAACGCGAACAGCAGTCCAGACAGCCAGCGATTCTGATGTCACCATTGTACTCCACTTTTAAGACGGTGTTGCCGGCTGCTTTGGTAAAAACGCAATCCTAAAAATTAAAGGAAATAAAGAAGTCGAAATTCGTCAAAATCAAAAAGAAAGAAAAAGTCTATCGATAAGAGTCAAAGAGTACTTCAGAAAGTTTTAAATCTTCCAGTCTAGACTGACTATGACAGTTATTTCAACAAATGACATTTTTTCCTGCTTAGTATTGTTCTCAGCCCTTTTCAGCTGCCGTTTACCTTTATCAATCCACTGTCTTTACCCTCATAGATGTTCTTCCACGCGCACTGTTTCCAGTTTCTCTGCAGGCCTTGGTTACCCTGTTCACCATTGGCCCCTTTAGGTCCCATTTTCCCTGCTGGTCCTGCTGGTCCTTGGTCACCCTTAAGGCCCTTGTCTCCCGGTGGCCCTACAGGTCCCTTATCTCCTGGTGGCCCTACAGGTCCGTGGTCTCCCTTGGCCCCATCTCTTCCATTGAGGCCAGGGACCCCAGGGACCCCTGGCACGCCACTGGTTGAAGTGTTGATGACAGTCGGGCATTGACGTGTTGCCTATAAATTAATGATATAAAAAGTTTATTCTTTTATTTTCGTTTATAGATATCGTCGTTCTGTTATCTGAATATCTGGGTCTGATTTACACATTTCTTTATACCTGTTGACATGTTTTCCTAGACTTTACGAAAAACAAACCAACTATACGCGAGTGACTAGCGACTCAAACGAGTTCGTCAAGCTAAAAAGTTTATTCTTTTATTTTCGTTTATAGATATCGTCGTTCTGTTATCTGAATATCTGGGTCTGATTTACACATTTCTTTATACCTGTTGACATGTTTTCCTAGACTTTACGAAAAACAAACCAACTATACGCGAGTGACTAGCGACTCAAACGAGTTCGTCAAGCTAAAAGCAATGAAAATGAGAAACCTCTGCTTTCAGGGTAGTTAGTTTGTGGACTCTAATCCACACCGCTATTTGATAAAAACTGCGTCGAACCAGTATAAGTGTATTCGGATGTTTTGTGAAACGCAGCCTAGGAGGCGCTAGAAAATAAATTTCTTGCTCTACACTGAGATAGTATTACGAAGTAACAAGTTTCATCGAAGAAAATGTATCATAACTAGTCGCATACGAAATAGTGCGTTGATAATACCCCTCTTTATGAGAATCGAAGAAAATTGCTCAATACAACTAGAGGGAAGTTATGAAACTGTAGCGAAAAATACTTACTGTTGACTGGTTAGCAGAAAAAGCTAACTTTGTAACCATGCATGTGGTAAGCAAGATTGTTATAAAGTTCATTGTTCTGCCGATTTAGGGTATGACTGAATTTCTCTGAGTCTTGAAGAAATCTGTGAAAGGAAAGATAAATAATAGATAGATAGATCAATCCAATTTTTTGTAGACTAAAAAGCCAATTAACATTACTTTAAACTAAATCGCAAATAGCGAGAAAAGGCGTAAGAGATATATGGTTATACGACACGCCGTCGGGAGGACGTTTCAAAGAAACAGCGACGAGCACATCGATCGTGTTTTGGAGAAAATTATACTGCAAGGGAGTATAAAAGTCTACACTCGTCGGCTTGTTACTTGTGTTAGCTTTATCAGTGAAGCATGTCTTGAGAGGAACTAACAATTCTGCCCTTGAAATCTTCAATACTTTACTCCTTGCTTTCCTGGGGTCTAAACCGATGTCTGGCTTGAGGCTGAGGCTAGAACTGATATCTCTGACCACATGGCGCACAGAATATCTCTGCTACGGGTAAAAACGAGTTCGCTTGTATCCTTCCTCAAGTTTTTTTAAGGATTGTGTAAGAAAGACAATCGACCGCTTCAGGGTGAGTCAGTATGCGTTGACATATATCGACAAATATTTGTTAGATGATAATAATAACAAAAATATCATTCGATTGGACGCATAGTCAGTTAAAATGTTCATTCCAGATTGTTGAAACTCATCAGTCATTTTTGCGTTAATTTTCTAGTCAATCCATCTGACGTGGACAGTCACATTTCGGGCATTTTTTTCAATAAGTCAGTTTGACGAGCCAAAATTCTAGTTGAATTAATAGCGGAGCTCCCGCGCGCGCGAAGCGCGCGCGAAGCGGAGCACCATGGGTAAGAAAATTTGGTAGACCATCCATCCCAGAAAATTTGGTTATGACGCAGCGTACGCCCGTCCGTACACACACTTCATGTAAGCCGATGTCAAATGTCACAATAGATCTTGCACAACTTGACTAGCCTCTTAGTTATGTAAGCCATCCGTATGAGTACGATTAGATTGACAGCTGTCAAAATCAGACATCCGCTGACAATTATCACATGACCGTCTCGCGGGCTCAGATAAAAGACCAGTCGTTTTGCCCCTATATATAAGCTGATATAATATGTCACACTTACCAATTCAACATAAAAACGAAACTACGCCGGGCAAGGCTGTCAGTTGGCTGACAGTCGTTTAAAGTTACATTGGCAGGCCAAATTAAGGTCAATTGACAGCTGTCAAAATGGGACATGTGCAGACCGCTATCAGAAGACTAATAACGAGGGCTCAGGTTCGCTCAGGTACACCATCTGGCATTTTCCAGTACATGCCGGACGGAAATGTCCTACTCACACTCGTAGTCTGTTAATTCGAATATTCGCCATTCTAATGAAGGTTAATTGACAGCTCTCAAACTAGAGTATACGCTGACCATCATCACCTGAGTGGATCGCGGGCTCATTTTTCTATCTATTGAGGTCACGTAGTGTTTAAAGTTTTGCGCTGATGTTTTATTTGATCACGGGCTCAATTCGAAGCCCCATAGCTTTATAGCGGAGCTCCGCGCGCGAAGCGCGCCTGCGGAGCACCATGGGTAAATAAATCTACCCATCCCAGAAAATTTGGTAATCACGTGACCGACCGACCGACCGACCGTCCGTCCGCACCACAGGCATACCAATGTTTGCTCTCGCACTTTCTAGTTACGTTGGGAGCCTAGGAGAAAGCTGACTGCACATTAATGTTGTCATCAATTGACAGCTGTCAAAACAGGGTATCCGCTGACCAGTATCACCTGACCGCATCGCGGGCTCAGGTGTCGACCCATCAAAGTGGAGTGTTTTTTTGAAGTTATCCGCTGACAATTTACTCGTTTTCAAATGATCGCAGGCTTACGTTTACTTTTTTTTAAAATTCATATCAACTATGTTGTGTTTATGTCATTATCGTACCGCACTATTACGATTTTGATTTCAAACTGACCTCAGACGCAAAAATTCAGCCATTTTTTTTAAAATACAGGTGGGGAAGACCTTGTCTTACCTTGGTCACGTGTTGATCACGCTCCACGTCCAATTTTTATGCTCTGATTGGTTAAAATTTGACAGGTGAGTTCATGCGTAAAATTTATGCAGCATCTTGAAAGTTGTTTACTTTGACAGCTGAAGCTGACAGAGTTTGAGTCAACTTGTGATGTTTTTAACTGTCTTTTGCCACTGGATGTACAAAATGAAATACAGTTGCTATCAAGAGTGTTCTCTTATTCATGGCTGGTTTGTTTATTAGGTTTTTGGTTGAGAAATGCGTCGTTTGTCAAAGCCGCTAATCCGATTTCGGATGGCATCGTTTTTGTTTTTCACTTTGCTGGATGCGTACGAGAATTATAAAGGCTCAAGCGATCCTTGCCTTACTTGATAGCTTTCAGGAGCTGCATCTCGAATTATGGTAAGCCTGAGTAATTATTGTATTTAAATATAATTTCATGAAGTCCAGCGGCGCAGTTTATGAAGCTAGTTTATGCACGTTTGTATTAAGATTTGACTGAGACACTGATCTGACCTAGTATGAGGTTTGATATAAGCTTAAGCTTACAGAACTTTAAAAAGCCTTTAGTCGATATTAATTCACCGTAAATAGAAAGAAAAGACTTTCCGAAGAATATATAGTTATAATTTTGGCTGTAGAAAGAAAGCTTTAAGCGATTTTCTTGTCGTGAGTTCATCTTTGAAAACAGCAAACACTGGGAAACCGGCGGCTTAAAACATAAACTTAATCTTTAATCTTACTAGTAAAGACTTGAGGATTCTTAGAGACACTTAAATACTCATTTGTTTTCGTGAATGAAAATTGTTGTCTCTGTAAATGTTCTACCGAATTATATTTCTTTATTGATTGTTGGTATTCTCAAAAGTGTAATTTTCATCGCTTTGCCGTTTGTTTTCAGCCGTTCAAAAACATCGCTTGCAGGAGTACTAAAAATGCCGAGCGTATCAAACGCTTTTTAAGATTACACATCGTTATAAAACCGTTAATAAAAAATAGACTCAATAAATTCTTTATCACATTGAAGCGTAACTCTTTTACAATTTCTTCGCAAATTTGGCGCTTGTCAAAAGCTAGAACCGGTTGGCCGTATAGATGATTTTGGAAATTTTTTGAACGGTTTCGCTAATTAAAAGTCCACGCTTGCTTCGATGGTCCTGAATATTGAATGAATTCAATTTGTCTTGAAAAATTGTGAAATACTGCATTTTGTACGAGGTCTGTATGATAAAAACAGCGCCTCATAGTACTCTTTCTCCTCAGATGTGGTGTATAAAAAATAAATAAATAAATAAAAGATTGGTTTGCACGCACCCAGATTTATTGGCAAGAATTTGTAAACTAGTCGAACGCAAAAAATTCGACCTGATTTGTTTTCCAAGAATTTGTTTTCCACGCCTTATCTACTGTGATCAAGAGCCATTATTGCTCTTAAATGGGACCGAAGACTATTTTTTGGGTGTACATATAAGGCTATATCAACTCGATACAAGATTTGTTTCACTCCAAAATCACTTAGCTTTTCCCTCAAAAGTCACATGAATGTGCCCTTAAGTTAACTGATTTGTGGAATACAAAATTATTGTTTGATTTAAGTAATAAATTTATCAATGGGAGCTTCGCTTTTAGCCGTGGCTAAATCTATATATTAGAAAATCTATCCATCCTAGAAAATTCGGCAATCACGTGACCGTACACCGACCACCCGACACTCCGTCCGTCCGCACCACAGGCATACCAATGTTTAATCTCACACTTTCTAGCTAGTTTGGGAGCCTGCAACCTGATATTGTACATCCATGTTTTGATTAATTGACAGCTGTCAAAACAGTGTTTCTGCTGACCAGTATCGCCTGACCGTATCGCGGGCTCAGGTATCGACCCTCTGAGTTCGAGTAATATTTTGAAGGTATTCGCTGACAAGTTGCTACTTTTCAAATGATCGCAGGCTCAAGTTCAATTTTTTTAAAATGCATATGAAATAAGACGTGTTTCATGAGCCGCACTTTTAAAATGTTGATTTCGAACTGATCTCGGACACAAAAATTCAACCGGCTTTTACATTTACATGCAGAGAAGGCAATCGCTTTTGACTTTTCTCACTGTCACGCGTTGATCACGCTCTACGTCCAATTTTTATATTCTGATTGGTCAAAATTTGACAGGTGAGTTTATGCGGAAAATTTTTGCAGCGTCTGGAAACTTGCTTACTGATAGCTGGAGCTGAGAGAGTTTTTTGTCATCTTGTGATGTTTTAAACTGTCTTTTTCTACTTGGTGTACAAAATGAAATACAGCTGCTATCAAGATTGTTCTGTAATTCGTGGCTGGTTTGTTTAATGCGCTTTTTGTTGACAAATGCACCGCTTGTCAAAGTCATTGGAAATCCGATTTCGGATGGCATCGTTTTCAAAAATGAGCTTACTCACTTGCCCTTGCTTGAGGCGTAAGAACGTTGAAAAGTCTCAAGCGATTCTGGAACACTTGATGACCTTCAGAAGCAGCATCTCGACTGGTAAGCTTGAGCCATTATTGTTTTTGACGTTTTTTTTTTTCGGTTTCCTGAAGTCGAGCGTATGGTTTATATTATGCGGCTTAAGTTAAAACGCGAGCAATGATCTAACCTACAAAAGGAAACAGGTTTAAAAAGCCTTTAGACATTTTTTGACCCGCAAATTCAAAGAAAAGGTTCCGAAGATTATTTAGTTATGATTTTGGCTGTAAACAGAAAGCTCTGAGCGATTTTCTTGCCTCGAGTTCATCTTGAAAAAGAGCGAACACCGGGAAGCCGGCTTAAAACATAAATAAGCTTTATATGCTTGCCTGACTCATGATTTTCTGAGACACTTTCCTCTCAATACTTCTCTTCGTGAATGAAAATTATTGTCTCTGTACATGTTTCACCGAATTAAACTTATTTTATTGATTGTTAGTAGTCCCTCTCGCAATTTTCATCGCTGCACCGGTTGTTTCCAGTCAAACATAAACATCGCATGTAGGAATACTCAAAACGCCGCGCGTAAATATCACTCGCTTTTCAAGATTACACAACAAAATCATACACAGTTTAATGAATATCTATAAAAGGGAAATAAAACCTAAACATAACAATTTCTCTATCATGTTGAAGCGTAAATGGTAACTCTATTAATCGCACTGCAAATTTGGTGCCTGTCAAAAGTGAGAACCCGTCCGGCTGGCCGAAAAGTGATTTTGGGAATTTTTTTATCGTTTTCATTAAAAGCCCATAATTATTACCCCGCATATCACATAGGACCAGATTTTTCTAACAGAAAACGTTTTATAATTCAATGCTATAATTTGTTGTGCAAAGGAAGCGCGTGCTTTGATCGTCGTGGATATTGAATGAGTGCAAATTCTCTTGCAAAATTGTGAAAAACTGCAGAATTATAAGTTTAAATAGGGCAAAAAAGAACAAATTCTGTCCGAGTTCTGTGTACTGTTTACCTGAGAAGTGATGAGAAAAGTATGTTTAAAAGGCTGGTTTACACGCCACCAGATTCGTCGCCAAGATTTACTAGTAAACTAAACTTGTCGAACACAAAAAATCCGGCCTGATTTTTATTTTGGCCTTTCTTTTAGACAGAGGAATGCAACGTGTAAATTGGCTGCCACCAAGGACTATCGTGGCGCATGTGTTTCTTAAAATTATATTTCGGGGTTGTCCAATTATCCATAGTCTCTCTAACGGAGCAATGTTGGAGAGACTGGTGAATGCCATATTATGATGATACAGCTAATGCAAATACAATACACGAATAGGTCTATTTGTTTTCCAGCCCTAATCTACTGTGATCGAACATAATTGCTATTTTTCGGTGTACAAATAACTTGAGGTAAAATTTGTTTCACTCTTGGACGGTCGAATTCTGATTTTTCTCTAAAATCACTCAGCCTTTGCCTCAAAAGTCAAATGAATGTGCCCTGATCTGTGGATTACAAGTTTATTGTTTGATTTAAATTATGACTTTATTAACGGGAGCTTCGCTTTTAGCCCTGGCTAAATCTATATATTAAGTATAACGCTGCTTGAGAGCCGGCTCGAAAAGTGACATCCATCCCAATAATTCAAGACCTTTACATTTTTCTCTTTCTTTAAGTAAGGTTAAACTTACAACTTAGTCGAAAAATCAGCTTTTTCTATAATATTTTTTTCCTTGGTTCTTACTGTTTGGTAAAATAATTGTAAAACTCAATTGATTGATGTTTTATTCAAATACAAAACCTGAACAAGAAAAGAATGCCACGTTCACCACGCATAACGAAATCTTGAAACAGAGCAAAAAGCACCAAACTTCAGTACTTCAAAAACAGAGCATCCGTAAGAGAATTTACTAAATAAAGACACAGACTGGCGTTTTTGTTATTGCTATTGTTATTATTATTTAAGTTTCCCGAACGCCATGCGAAATCAAGCAAACTGGTTTGATCTCTGTGATGATATCATAAGCAAACTTCAGAAATGCAAATGAGTTCAGAAGAAGAGTTAACTGAAGTAGCGTCATACAGAAACTTCCGCATGACGGATCCATCGAATTATAGCACGAGGTTTGTTTGCTCTGCGAATTATGTGATAATTTTAATGTATATAGGCAAAGACCGTGAAGAGTTACGTAACGGGTTCGACCACTACTGATTTCAACCACAGGCACCTCAAGCTCACGTTACGAGTGTGTTCTCACAAGAGAATTCTGTTATGCTTTTTAACTAAAAGATCAGTGAGACAGCCGGGACATGGTGTTTAACATATAATATATGAAATATCAGCAAGTCCACAGCAACAAACCAATGAGTCGTGCCGGATCTCCCAGTTGTAGACCTGGATCAGTACAATTAAACTTGTAGAAAAATATGAAACGGCAAACTGTTCCTTACGGCAAGGCGATGAAGAAATAAACAAAAGAGTAAAACAAAAAAATACATTTTTAAACAAATTGCCCAATGTTTCAGTTTGAAAACAAACCTTCTTCAGAGGCTAAAAGAAAAAATAAAACTAAAACTTTTAAAAATAAAACTTTTAGCCCCTGAAGAAGGTTTGTTTTCAAACAGAAGTATTGGGCAATTTGTTTAAATATATATATACCTGGTTTTTTGAAAACCGGGCTACTAAAAAATATCGTTCTCTCGCAATGATTGGTAATTTAATGGCCCTTGTTACTTGAAAAGTAAAATCTCACCTCAAAAAGAAATTATTGAATACATGAGCTTCCATTTGATAGAATCGTCTGTCTTGAAGGTAACAAAAGGGGAGTTTTCCTCATTAATCTGGAAAATAAGACATTTTAAGGGGCAATTTTTAGTGTCGGTGTCACCGATTGCAAAGCCATTTCCCCAGTTCACCTCATTTTTCATTAAAGCTGGTCTCCCAAAAACAATCTAAGCCAACACTACTCAACAAAACCAAGTCCTACAACCACCAGTTCAACTGCTTGCTGACTAGGAACATTATCAACAGAGTTGGTCATTGCTTGCATGCAAACAAAACAAACAAACTGCATAAGAGTGCAAAAACACATCAAACTTTACAACAACCCCACCCCCTGGAATTTAACTAGACTACCCCAAATGCATACCAGATGATAGCCCTGTGTCTGTGCAACAACATGACATCCAGCCAGACACAACCCCTCCTTAATTTGAGGGAGACATTGAGCTTTGAAAGACAGGGGTAATCCCCGGTACAAAAACTCAGCAAATCCGCACTCTAGCACTAAGCATAGTCTTTACAACAACCCCACCCCCTGGAATTAAACTAAGCTACCCCAAATGCATAACAGATGATAGCCCTGTGTCTGTGCACCAACATGACACCCAGCCAGAACAACCCCCCCTTAATTTGAGGGAGACATTGAGCTTTGAATGACAGGGGTAAGCCCATGATAAGCCCAGGTACAAAAACGCAGCAAATCTGCACTCTAGCACAAAGCATAGTCTTTACAACAACCCCACCCCCCTGGAATTTAACCAGGCTACCCCAAATGCATAGCAGATGATAGCCCTGTGTCTGTGCAACAACAGGACACTTAGTTCGACGGAAGCCCCCCCCAAAAAAATATTAGCTGGCCCAACGGAGGTAACAGCCCGGCCCCTCGTGCATATTTTCTGGAATTTCCATTGATTTCTGTCAATTCCAGGAAGTTATTTGGAGCCCATGGTTAAGAGGTGAGGGTGGTTAGTCCTTAAGAGCGAGATTGTTATTTTTACACTAAAAGTATCAGGGCTTTAAGCAAATTAAGTTTTGAAAGATTGTCAGCACTGTGCTGGACTGGACTTAAGATTTCAGGCAACCCGGTTTTCAAAACTCCAGTTAGATATATATTTTGTTTTTTACAGGAACACAGGCGACATTTTTTGTGAACATATACCACATCTTCTCCAAAAAACGTAACGTAACTCAGAAGTTTTACGTTACAACATGGACTGCAAAGCAGTCCGTATTTTTTGCGTGTTCAAAAACGCGCGAGCAGTCAAACAAAAGGTCTGGAACAGGACTAAAAACGGAGTGCCAGACTGGGTGGGGGAGACGCTAAACATACGCTTTTTTTTCTCTCGCCACGCCACGCTTTACCGATTTCTTTACTGATTTTGAGAAAAAAACCGACTGCTTTCAGTCTAGTTGCAACAGCAACGGCAAAGTGTGCTGCACGTGCAAAAACGGTTTTTTGCTAATTAGATCTACTGATTTTTGTTTTTTCGCCGTTCTCATTGCCGTCGCCGTTTACATAACACGATTCTATTTTTGGTTTGAGTAAATTGTAAGTATATTAACGAGAGCTTCGCTTTTAGCCCTGTATCTTATATACAGTTTGAAGTGACACAATATTGTAGAGAAAGAAAGTAACATGTTTTCACGTGTAAATGAAAATGAAAAAATATTAAGCAAGCAGTTTTCCCCGGATGAAAACTTGTTGTGCGTTTAAGCTTGCTTTGGAAAATAAGATATTCTGTCATGCTTTTTAATTAAAAGATCAGATCAAGCCTAAACACGCAATCAGATGCGATAAAAAAAACTCCTGATCGCAGATTAACTGTTTGTATGCCATATTTTCATTGTTACTTGCACGTTCAAACATGTCACTCTAGTTTTTAATTCCATTTTGTCACTTCAAAATATATTTCTTAAATCAGATTTTGTGATTTTTATCTTGTCACTTGGTAATTGTCTCTTTGGCGATATCGAAACTTTGTGTTAAACTCTTCCTGTAATTTTTATTCCTAAATAGAACCTCATTTGATATTTTAAGAAAAAATGATACTAGTGGATAAACCACGCGGGTTTCACCGCTGTTACTCTATTTTCAGACCAGGTGTAATTCGAACAGTCCCCTAACTCAGACCGATGTATCGAGGCAGCAACATCTCTAACCAAAACTTTGCTGGATTCATATGAATAGATTTATCAAATATATTTCGTTGGGAGAAAGAAAGGAAAGGAAGTTAACAGCTGGCACCGTCAGAGCTGTCAGAGAGTCAACACGCAACTACTATTTGATTAAAAGTTATGTTTTTAATAGTTACTGAGTATACAGCTAGGACATCCCCATTACGTAATGCACTATAAATGTGGCTCCTACTTAATTTCGTCAAGGCCACGAATGGTCAAGCAAAACTCAAAGTAAAAGACCGTGAATGTCCTCCGAATGTGTTGTCTCGTCCACTTACTGGGATGGAGGAACTTCCTCGATCATGATTCGGGTCACGGAGCTCCATCCAGTATACGCATCTGTAGCTTTCGATCCCACGCAGGTACCGACATTGATTCCCACTCGAACGGTTCCCTTGGCGATTCCTTCGCAGTATCCTCCAATCTGAGTAACTTTGTGAATGTTCGTGTCTGTTCTTCCGTGATTTGAGGAGATATGCATCAGGCCATCAATGGCGAGAGGTTTGCGACATTCCACACCATTGAAGGTGAAAAACCATCGCGAACAGCAGCCGAGACAGAAAGCGATTCTGATGTCGCCATTGTACTCCACTTTTAAGGCGGTGCTATCGGAGTCTTTATTAAAAACGCAGTCCTAAAAAAAGAAGAAATATAGACGTTAAAATTCATCAAAATCAAAAAGAAAGAAAAAGTCTATCGATAAAATCTTTCAGTCTGACTCTTTAGACGCTATGACAGTAATTTTAATAAATAACATTTTTTCCTACTTAGCATTGTTCTCAGCCCTTTCCAGCTGCCTTTTACCTTTATCAATCCACTGTCTTTACCGTCATTGATGTTCTTCCACGCACACTGTTTCCAGTTTCTTTGCAGGCCTTGGTTACCCTGTTCACCCTTAGCCCCTTTAGGTCCCATTTTTCCAGGTGCTCCTGCTTGTCCTCTAAGGCCCTTGTCTCCCGGTGGCCCTACAGGTCCCTTATCACCTGGTGGCCCCGCAGGTCCTTTATCTCCCTTGGCTCCGTCTCGTCCATTGAGCCCAGGGACCCCGGGGACCCCTGGCACGCCACTGGTTGATGTGTTGATGACAGTTGGGCATTGACGCGTTACCTATAAATAATATAAAGGTTTTTTCTTCATTTTGCTTTTAAGTGTTGTAATGCTTTAAGGGCATAAGTAACTTCTAGATTGAAAATTGATAATAATGGTTAATATGTCATAAGACTGTTTCCCTTTTTTTTTTTTTTTTCGTCTTTTTCTTTATTAAACCCTTAGAGAAAATTCTCAAGCAGTTTCGAAACTAGGCACGTCGGGTTAGTTTTTTGTCTTCGGATGTTTTGCAGCCTAAGTGGCGCTAAAAAAGGAAATTCGTGTCACGAACTTTCATCGACAAAAATGTATCATAATCAGTCGCATATGAGTTAGTGCGTTCGGGAAAACACCTCGCTTGATAAGAATCGAAGAAAATTGCTCATAAATCTGAAGGGAAGTCGTAAAACTGTAGCGCAAAATACTTACGGTTGACTGGTTAGCAGAAAAAGCTAACTTTGTAAACATGCTTGTGGTAAGCAAGATTGTTATAAAGCTCATCGTTCTGTCGATTTCGGGTATGACTGAATTCCACAGCTGAGTCTTGAAGAAATCTGTAAAAGGAAAGAAAAATAATAAAAGATAGATCAATTCAATTTTTTGTACACTAAGAAGCCAATTAATATTACTTTAAGATATATCTCAAATCGCGGGAAAGGGGTAAGAAATCCTGAGGAACTTTAAGATCGTTATATCACGCACGGCCAGAAGGACGTTTCAAAGAAACAGCTAAGAGCACACCTTGTTTTGGAGACAATGACTCTATGATTGTACACCAAGAGAGTATGAAAGGCTACACTCGTCGTCTTGTTACTTGTGTTAGCTTTATCACTGAAGCAACTCTGAAGAGAAACTAACAATTCTGCTCTTGAATTCTTCAATGCTTTGTACTTCCTGATTTCTTGGGGACTAAAACGATGGCTGGCTTGACGCTACAAATGTCTTTGACTAAATGGCGCGCAGAATATTACTTGATTAAGCGGAAGTCTATATCTCACTACGGGTAAAAACAAGTTCACTAGTGTCCTTTCATTTTTCTGATTGGGTAAAAAGAATCGACTGCCTCAGGATGCGTTAGTATGCGTATACATGTATCGACAAATATTTGTTGGATCACAGTCAGTATGTTCATTCCAAATTGTTAGAACTCATCAGTCATTTTTGCGTTAATTTTCTGGTTAATCCTCCTGGCAGACATATTACCCCATATTACATTTTTTTTTTTTTTTTAAAAAATACTTCAGTTTGACGGACCAAAATTCTAGTTGAATTAATCAGTATAATGCTGCTTAAGACCCACTCGAAAAGTGACAGCCATCCCAATCCAAAAATTTGATACAGTTTGCATTTATAGACCGAATGAAATGAAAGTTTTTCTTTTACATTTTTTCCTTTCTTTAAGTAAGGCTAAACTTAATTCAACTTAGTCAATGCACCGTTTTCTAAAATATTTTTTCCACGGGTCATGATAAATGTAAATAAAACTCCATTCACTGATGATTTATTCAAATACAAAACCCGAACAAGAAAGAATGCCAAGTACACCACGCATAACGAAATCTTGAAACAGAGCAAAATCCACCATACTTCAGAGCCACAAAAACAGAGCATCCGTACAACAATTTATGAAATAAAGACATACACCAACTTATCTTTTATCATTTCCATTATTGTTAACCCTCGAAAGCCATGCGAAATCCAGCACAGTCATATTATTTTACTTAATGACATCATAGAGAACTTTAGAAATTCAAATGAATGAAGAGTATTGAGTCCACGTATTTTTTTTGGCTGCTTTTCCACTAACAAAGGAGGCCGTAACCGAAGATTACCGATCGGAGGTAGTGAAATCCAGTAACTTCTACATGACTTTAGAACGGATCCATCGAATTAAAGAGTATTTTCACTCACATGGCCAGCCTCTATGCAAATTTATTGAACCAAAAGAAAGTGTTTACTTTACATAAGAAAGGAGTCCAACTCCCACGGGACAGGTTTGGGACACCAATATGGCCGCCGTGACGTCATGTGAAAACACTCTATAACACGAAGTTTGTTTGAACCGCGAATTATTTGAGAATTTTAATATCTCTAGGCAAATGCTGTGAAGGTTACGTACCGGATTTTATTCCCCTCGACCACTAAAACGTTGAAAGTCGCAGCACATACAAGATGGTTGATGGTGACGTGGAGTTTACGTTACTAGGATACTTGCACAAGCAGGAAACGAAGCAGGACAACGACGAAAGACTCTACTGCTTCTGTTTGGCGATTTTACACGAACAAGAGCCATAAAGAGACGCCAAACAATGTCAGCAAGAATATTTAGCAGGACTGTGAAGTCTGTGAGCGAGTTATTTGGACCCCATCTCAAGTCCCTTGCGTTAAACGCCATGTCCCGGCAGTCAAGTTCTCAAGAGCAGCTACTGAGAGCGGGGTGTCATGGGAAGGATGCAAAAGAGGCTGCCTGGGCACTCATTCACTTTGTTGATAACCCGTAAGCATGGATGAGTTTGCTACGGAAGTGAGGGGAAAATACCTTGGTTTCCCCGAGGAAATTTGACTTCAAATTAATTTTCGTTAAACACTTAATAATAAAATTTAGAGAAAAGAAAACACAACGTTTCGAAAAAAGCTAAAATCTGACTAAATAGCGGAGCACCATGGGTAAGAAAATTTGGTTATCTATGCATCCTAGAAATTTTGATAGTGACTCTAGTCACGTGATCGTACGCCCGTCCGTTGACACCACAGGCACACCAGTGTAAGATACATGTAACTCAATCAACAGGTATGGCATCCCAAATGCAACCCGAGACTTTTTGGGGGGAAATCACATGGCCACCGGCGTCTTGTGAAGCAGAGACAATAACATGTAAAGAGTCAAGAAAGACAAAATCGAAGGCGGAAATTGTTTCTATGTCCGTCTTGTCTTAAGTATTAAGCCTAGATTAATTGTCATGTCGCCACAAATTTGGAAGGTAGAGAAAGAGAAAGAAAGAGAAAACAAGAAAGTAGGTGACAGGCTAGGGAAGCTCAACGAGAACTGAAGACCTACAGAGAGCTAGAAGAGAGATAAAAAAAAAAAAACAAAGGAGGCGAATTTCTTTGGAAGAACAACATGACATACCGCTGGAATAAAAATTAGAACTGCGAGCCGACAGTAAGGTAAAAATGAGGGGCAGTGAAGAAAAGCGAGCAGGAACACAAGCAACAAAATTTTTTGTGTGCACATACGACATTTTCTCCATAAAACGTGTAAATCAGAAGTTTCACGTTGCAACAACAACGGCAAAGAAATGTACAAAAAAGATTGCTGCAGATGCAAAGATTTTTTTTTGCCAATTACACCTACTGGTTTTTGTTTGTTTGGTTGGGTTTTTTTTGGCCTTTCTCATTGCCGTGGACGTTTAGCATTACACGATTTCAGTTATGTTTGTTTTGAGTAAATGGTAAGTATATTAACGAGAGCTTTGCTTTTAGCCCTGGCTTAATCTATATCTTATGAACAGTTTGAAGTGACAAAATATTGTAGAGAACAAAAGTAACGTGTTTGCACGCGTAAATGAAAATAAAAATATAATTATGTTAAACAAGCAGTTTTCCGTGGATGGAAACTGGTTGTGTGTTTAAGCTTGGTTTGGAAAATTAGATATCCAGTTATGCTTTTTATTAAAAGAGGAAACCAAGCCTTATCACGAGAACAGATTTCATCAGGGGAAAACTGTTTGTATTGAACATATTTTCATTTAATTCTCATAAACACGTGAAAACATGTTACTTTTGTTCTCTAGTTTATTTTGTCACCTCAAACTTAATATGTTTTTAAATCAGATTTTTTTATAAACAATATTTATTGCAACATTTGCTCTAACAGCCTAAGGGCTCATCTAGAGAGCTTACACTGTTTACATTCACAGCAATTTAAAAATACAAATGCACGTCAAGATCGAACACACACACGCATAAAAAAAGCGAAAGAATAAAGAAGAAAAGAAAAAACTAAGCAAAAAATAAATAAATATAAAAAACAGGCACAGCAACTAACAGGAGCGATTCGATAGCAAAATAAACGACTGGACAAGCTGAAACAACCTAACGTTGATTAGAAATTAAATCAGCCAATCGATTTTTTTCTTATCTGAGGCACATTTTATGCCATCTATTTTCAAGTAAATGTGCAGCGGAGGTAAACAACTTTTCACACAGAGCAGCAAAACTTGGGCAGTATAGGAAATAACGTTTCATGTCTTCAATAGATGCATCGCAAAGAGCACAGGCAGCGGAAGAACAGCAATTTCTCTGAAAAAGGTGAAAATGTAAGGCACTAAAATTAAGTCTCAAACGAGTGTGAAAAATTGACGCTGAACGATCCCCAATACAAAAAAGATAGCTGCGAGATGGAAAATGCAGGAATTTTAAAAGGTTACGCTTGAAGATGCCTGGAGAAGACCAATCAGGTATTGATGTCAAGTCATGATTTAGTTTAGAAGCGCAAGAGACTGACCTTTTTCCAGCAAAAAAAACATCAGCAAATAAAAAACAGCGAGAGGAGATTGTGACTGGTAGGTCATTAATGTAAATGAGAAACAATTATGGACCTAAGACCGATCCCTGTTGGACACCAGCCTCGATACTACGACAATCAGAATGCACTCCTTCGATCATCACTTTTTGTTTACGACAAGAAAGGTAACTTATAAACCAGTTTAACAAATTTTTTCTATCTTGTCTCTTGGTAATGATCTCGAGGCAACATCGAAACGTTGTGTTAAACTCTTTTTCCTAATTTTTATTTCTAAATAGGACTTCATTTGATATTTTGAGAAAATTTAATACTCGTGGATTAACCACGCGGGTTTCACAACTGTTACCCTATTTTTCCGACCACTTGTAATTCGAACAGTCGACTAACTTACACCGATGAATCGAGGCACGAAAATCTCTAACAAAAACTCGCTGGATTGGTATGAATAGTTTAATCATATATATTTCGTTGGGAGAAAGAAAGGAAAGGAAGTTAATAGTTGGTACTGTTAGAGCCGTCAGAGAGTCAACATGCATCTGCTATTTGATTAAAAGCTATGTTTTTAATAGTTACTGAGTGTACATCCTCATTACTTAATGCACTATAATGGTCAAGCAAAGCTTAAAGCAAAGGACCGTGAATGTCCTTCTCTGTGTGTTGTCTTGACCTCTCACTGGGATGGAGGAACTTCCTCGATCATGATTCGGGTCACGGAGTTCCATCCAGTATAACCATCTGCAGCTTTCTTTCCCACGCAGCTAACGACATTAATTCCCAGTCGAACTGTTCCCTTGGGGATTCCTTCGCATTATCCTCCAATCTGAGCAACTCTGTGAATGTTCGTGTCTGTTCTTCCGTGATTTCGGGCGATATGCATCAGGCCATCAATGGCGAGAGGTTTGCGACATTCCACACCATTGAAGGTGAAAAACCATCGCGAACAGCAGTCGAGACAGAAACCGATTCTGATGTCGCCATTGTACTCCACTTTTAAGGCGGTGCTATCGGAGTCTTTATTAAAAACGCAGTCCTATAAAAATGGAAATAAAGACGTTGAAATTTATCAAAATCAAAAAAAAAAGAAAAAGTCTATCGATAAGAGTCAAAGAGTAGTTCAGAAAGTTTTAAATCTTTCAGTCTGACTCTTTAGACGCTATGACAGTAATTTCAATAAACGACATTTTTTCCTGCTTAGTGTTGTTTTCAGCCCTTTTCAGCTGCCTTTTACCTTTATCAATCCACTGTCTTTATCGTCATCGATGTTCTTCCACGCACACTGTTTCCAGTTTCTCTGCAGGCCTTGGTTACCCTGCTCACCCTTAGCCCCTTTAGGTCCCATTTTCCCTGGTGATCCTGCTGGTCCTTGGTCTCCTCTAAGGCCCTTGTCACCCTGTGGCCCTACAGGTCCTTGGTCTCCCTTGGCCCCCTCTCTTCCATTGAGCCCAGGGACCCCAGGGACCCCTGGCACGCCACTGGTTGAAGTGTTGATGACAGTCGGTCATTGATGCGTTGCCTATAAATTAACGATATAAAAAGGTTATTCTTTTATTTTCGTTTACAGATATTGTCGTTCTGTTATCGGAATATCAGGGTCTAATTTAAACATTTATTTTTGATATCTGTTAACATGTTTTCCTATAGACTATTTACGAAAAACAAACCAACTACGCGACTGGCAAGCGACGCAAACGACTTCGTCAAGCTAAAAGCCCCACAATTGAGAAACCTCTACTCTCAGGGTAATTATTTTGTGGACTCTAAACGTTAACCACACCGCTATTGATAAAAACTGCGTCGAACCCGTACAAGTGTATTCGGATGTTTCGTGAAACGCAGCCTAGGAGGTGCTAAAAAATTAATTTCTTACACTAGACGGAGGTAGCATCACGAAGTTGCATCGAGGAAAAAGTATCAAAATTAGTCGCATACGTATAAGTGCGTTGATAAAACCACACGTGATAAAAATCGCTCGTACAACTAAAGGGAAGTCATGAAACCTACAGCACACAATACTTACGGTTGACTGGTTAGCAGAAAAAGCTAACTTTGTAACCATGCATGTGCCGGGAGGACGTTTCAAAGCGACGAGCACATCTTGTTCTGGAGACAACGACCATGATTGTACACCAACAGAGTATAAAAGGCTACACTCGTCGGCTTGTTACTTATGTTAGTTTTATCATTGACGCATCACTTAAAAGGAACTAACAGTTCTGCTCTTGAAGTCTTCAATCCTTTATTCCTTGATTTCTTGGGGACTGCAACGATGTCTGGCTTGAGGCTAAGACTAGAACTGATGTCTTTGACTAAAAGGCGCACAGAATATTACTTGATTAAGCGGAAGTCTATATCTCTGCTACGGGTAAAAACGAGTGCACTTGTTGAGGGGGGCGTAAGGGTTTGCGGTGATGCGGTTTTGCGTTATTTTTGGTGCGGTTTTGCGGTAATTTTTATTTTAACTCGCGGTATTGCGGTTTCAAAACGCTAAGCGGTTTGCGGTTATTACATCCTTTAAGTCGCGGTTTTCGGTGAAAAAAAGTGTTTGCGGTGATAACACTCTTTAGAACGGTCGGCATCCGGTTGTTTTGCAAGCGCGAGCCAAGTGTTTTGTTTTTTATACAACGCATCAGAGTTCATTACATCAGCTTACAATTTAACTCTGTGGTTTGCAATTACGGCCTTTTCCAGTTAATACTTAATGTGATTAACCGTTTTGGCCAATGATGCGTCCACTTTGTGAAATTCTATGCCGGATGTTAGCTCGTACAGCCGTACAGCCTCGTGTTCTCTTTGATTCAATGCGATAAAAGGGGGTGGTAGGCCTACACGACTTTTACCTCATGCCAAAATGCTGCTTATTCCAATAAAGTTGTTTTTATCTGCTGGGTAGATTATGCTCTGGAAGGTTCTTCATTTTACTGAGCAAATGTGATTTTAGCCGCATGTTTCACACTGAGAGGTCATGACATATATATCGATTGACTGTAGTTATTGTTTTCTGGTCGGCAGGATTTGCCCTCTGATGCAAGCGCATTTTCTTTGACCTCTTTTGAAGCGTAAAGCTTTTTTATTACGGCTGAATAAGGTTTCCAATTTTCTCCAAAGTGCCTTATGGATCTGATCGAAGCGATTTTCGTTAGTCCGTGAGTGTAATGTTTTTCTGCAATGCTGTATCACGCTGGGCCCAGCTCTTCAGTTTTCTTTGCAGAATGTTAAATTATCACGGATAGTGACTTACAGATCCAAAATTATAAGAGTGAACTGCAGCTTAAACTGAAGCCACATAAACTTACTATGGAGAATTGAATTGTGACTCAGTAAACTCCAGCTTAGTGTTTTTCTAAAGATAGTGTAAGTCTTTTGACTGGAGCGCGTAGTTCCTCCCTTGGTAATAGCTTTGAATAAGATGAACAGTCTTTAAACTGTTTTGTTATTGCCACAGTTTGTGATCAGGCAAGACCATGGTTTCGGTTCTCCTCACGAACCTCATCAGTTGCCGGGTTGGCTTTGTGCTTAGTTGCTTTTACAAGAGCAACTTTAGTTGTACTTTGTCGTGGCGAGAACGGTACAGCCGTTCTGTCTGTTGAGCTTAATCTGAACATAAATACCCACGTGGCGGATCGAAATTCTTGTTTTCTTATTGGCTACTGAACGTAACCAATTGCGAACTGTCTATGTTTGGAAAGCATTTCGTGAAAATTTAGGCACTTTCTTTCATGGAGGAGTTCGAAGACTCTTGCAAATAAATGCGCACAGAGTGTCCGTACACTCCCTCCAAGGGTGTATTTTTAACCCTGAAATGCAGAACTCTTGTCTTAAAACATCTGCATGGTATTCGCGCGGCAGCCATTTTTTTGAAAATGGCTATCTGTCACTAAGGTTTCCAAATATGGTAAAAGTGAATATTCACGAGCATTGAACGCGAGTTACACGTTTCAACACCTTATGAGTTTCTGATAGAGTATAATAGTGTAGTACAATATATCATTAGCGTTATGATGGTATGTTTAATACTAACGCACAATGTTATCAGAATATATCATAAGTCTTGCTGACGTCAGCTTTCATATTGTGGCCTACATCTACGCGCGGTTTCGGAATTCGGGAAAAAATCCGATGCGGTTTGCGGTTTTTTGACGTATTCCTGTGCGGTTTTGCGGTTTTCGGACCCCCCTTACGCCCCCCTCCTTGTTGCCTTCTTTTTCTCTGATTGGATGAAAAAACCAATCGATTGCTTCAGAGTGCGTCAGTATGTGTTGACAGACTCTATCGACAAATATTTGTTTCATCACAGTATAATCCTCCTGACAGACATATTTCTTTTTTTTCAAAATACGTCAGTTTGACGGACCAAAATTCTAGTTGAATTAATAAGTATAATGCTGCTTAACACCCACTCGAAAAGTGACAGCCATCCCAATCAAAAAACTTGATACAGTTTGCATTTTTAGACCGAACGAAATGAAACTTTTTTCTTTTACATGTTTCTCTTTCTTTAAGACGTAAGGTTAAACTTAATTTAACTTAGTCAAAGCACCGTTTTCTAAAGTATTTTTTCCATGGGTCATGATAAATGTAAATAAAACTCAATTCATTGATGATTTATTCAAATACAAAACCCGAACAAGAAAGAATGCCACGTACACCACGCATAACAAAATCTTGATACGGGACAAAAAAAATACCATTCTTCAGTATCACAAAGCAAAGCATCCGTACGAGAATCTATTACCTAAATAAAGACATTGCTCGACTTTTTTATTATTGCTATTATGATTATGGACTATTATGATTATTATTTTAGTATCCTAGAACGCCATTCGAAATCCAGCATAGTTTGATCTTTGATATCATGGAGAACTTCAGCAATTCAAATGAGTGAAGAAAATTGTGTTCAAGAGTTTTTTGACTGCTTTTCCATTGGATAAAAAACGAGTTAACCGTAGTAGCGTGATACAGCAGCTTCTACATGACTAGAACGGATCCAAAGAATTATAGCACAAGATTATTTGCACTGCAAATTATTTGAGAATTTTGATAAATATACTGCAAAGGTGAAGAGTTACCGGGTTATATTCCCCTCGGCCACTATTTCTCGATCAAGGCAGTCTGTATAATACTAATATAGCACCGGCTATAAAACGTTACTATAAAACGCTGAAAGTTGCAGTACATACCGTATGGTTGATCGTAGAGTAGAGTTTAAGTTACTTGAATACATGCTCAAGCCGGAAACAAGAAAACCGACGAAAGAATCTGTAGTCTGTTACGCTATTTTACGCGAAACATTGTCAACCGGAAGATAAAGCTTGCTACATTTTATCTTGTATCCAGATTAATCAACCTTTCATGATAACATTGACAAAGCTTTGGTCAGATGTAATAGCCCAGCAGTGTGCGCTTAGACTGGGATTCCTGTGTCAGCCACAGGAAGCGCCCGCTCAAAATAGTCTGATTTGTATTAACCATTTTCGAATCGACCACAATGCACCTTGTTTACCCCTCCAAATTTTGCGTAGCCATTATCTTCGATTTCTCTTGTGACGACTGTAATACCCGGGAGCAAGAGGTCTTGCTAGGAGCAATTGGAAACAATGGATATGCAAAATTTTAGAGAGTAAACAAGTTGTCTATGTAAAAAATGGTGAATGGATTAAATCTGCATGGGAATTTATCGTAAGTTCAATAAAATGGTTTAAAAATAGACGTAAACAGTAATATATTCTCACCCGGAAGACCGCACAAAAAGCCAAATGTGCCTAAATGCATAAGATATGGGAGAATCGGCACGAGGCTTTGAGAGTCGGTGAACCAGAAGAGAGTACAAGGTATGCTCCATTGCTGCGGGGAGGAGGGTGGGGCGAGAACTGCTATAGAGGGTGGCGAGACATAAACTTTACTAGAACTGGCTGAATGATCAGGCATACTGCTCTTAAAACCGAGAGACAAAGTCTGTGGGTATGCCGCGTATTCCCCTGGGCCACGCTGAGAATTTTAGGAAGTGCATTGATGCTAAATTAGGCTTTTGTGCGTGTTTTCCCTACACTTCAATGGCTATTCTCAACATACTATGGCGTACATTTGCGGACAAAAATAATCGAAAATATAATACAATTTGAAGTTCAAAAGTTAGACTATCCATGTCGAAATCTCGTCATATGAATTTGAAATCCCAATGAACGCAGTCGAAATAGCATCATTCGAACTTGAAGTTACTACTTTGAACAAGTTGAAACTATAAAGGGAAAACTCGACATCGGGGATGTTAAGTTCAAATCACCATTCCAACTAAAATGCAAATTACATGATTTGAACTTCAATTTACCTTCTCCACTCTAA